TTTATCTGCTGTCATTCCTGTTTGTCTACAATGACAAAAATAAGTTTGTTCAGGAAGAAATAAAGATATTTTGTAGGGTATTGATGTTCATGCATATAAAGAGAAGTATAAGGTGATTGAAATGTATTTGTTTGGAATACATTTCTCCCTTCAATTACGCATGAATATGTATTAAACAAAGTTTCAAAAGATACCGGTAGGCCTATTGATAATATGCAGAAAAAATGTTATGATTGCGATTTAGATTCCTACATTGTGTTCATTTTTTATTTTCTGAAGGTAATAATTGTTTATGGAATTGAATTGAATTAAATGCTACACAGGTTTTCATTTACCCGATACATGCTGTAGCGACATAAGTTTTTGGATTTATTTCGTCAATGATATGGGGTGAGGTTTAGGGTTAGGGTTAGGATTGCTAACTTGCTATGGGTTTATAGATTAGGTTGAAGATTGAGGTGAGGTATAAGTGTGGGGGTGAAGCAAGGAATGAGATTTACATTGCTCATATGCAAGTGTATGTGTTGTGTACAAATAGTAGAGATAGGAGCATGGCTTGCATTCTCTTTGAGTGTAAACGTATGTATTCTCTAGGTTAGTTCACTGCCTAATTTACCATCAAAGCTACGAGCCAAGCTCCTAAAAATAGCATTCCTTTATTGATGGTTTCCTCCCACTCTCTCTCTCTCTCTCTCTCTCTGTCTCTCTGTCTCTCTCTCTCTCTCTCTCTCTCATTCACTCATTCTCTTGCTCTATCTCGTTATATCTCCCTCTCTCTCTCTCTCTTTCATTCTCTCTCTTTCTCTTTCTTTCTCTGTTCCCTATGGAGAGCGGCAAGATTAGAAAGTGTTGATTATGTGGTGAATTATCTATACAGCTTGTGCGGGGATGAATGATACAGTTTCAAAACACAAAATACTTGAGACCCTAACAATCAGTATGGTGAGCCCAGTCATGGTTCAGGGTTTTCATTTATTTTTGTTTATTTCTACCGTAAGATTTAACTACTGCTAAATGAATGTTAATAGAGTATTTCTCCTGAGTCTTGGCGGTTTCCGGACCCTATGTTTTGACCACATCCCTTCTGCCTAATGTCAGTTACCAAACGTACCAAAAGTTGCTTGTGGGCTGACTTTCTCTTGAGATTTTGGTCTGGTGGGCTGTTGGTCTGGCAGAATGTCCCCATTACAACAATGCTTACAAAGTTACAATAATCTTATAAGTTTTCTGAACAAATATGTTACTCAACAAAATTTCACATAAGTACCATTAGGCAACACTTGCCCAAATTGTGAATACAATTTTTTTTTTTTCATGTTCAAGAGATACTGTAATTTGATCAAGCCTTCAATCTATTGTGGTTACCTTTAGTAGTGGTTTGTACTAATCCAACATATACAAGAATAGCACCCAAAACAATTGCAAACTGATTCACAAATGTTATAAAGCAATACCTGTCAATCAATCTTGCATGCTTAAAAAAATTGACTGAAATTACCTGATTTTGCCATGAATTATAAGAAGTAGGCTATTGGAATTTTTTTATTTTGTTGAAAGTTGCCTTTACCAGTGTGCTTTTTTGTTCATTGTTTTAAAGAAATTAAAGTTAAAGAGTCTGAAAACTTTCTACTGGTAATTCATTGAACTTTCTACAGGTTTAGAGGCCCCATGAGAATGGGAATATTTCTTTCAAAAGATAGTTGGAAGAATTGAAAGCTCCCCAGCTCCTGTGTTTCCTCACACTCACCCCGATGCATGGCTAGCTAGAGATCCCTGTTGAATTGAAGACACTAGCTTTGATTGGGGAAATGATGATGGATAGTTGGCGACAAAAAGGTCACTCTGGAACTCAGCTGCATCAAGAGTCTATATTACATGTGTAAATCTGAAGACAGGATATGGGATTGATTGAAATGCATGATAAGAGAGAGAGAGAGAGAGAGAGAGAGAGAGAGAGAGAGAGAAATAGAGACAGAGAGAGGGAAAGAGAGAGACAGAGAGAGACAGAAAGACAGACAGACAGAGAGGGAGAGATAGAGAGGCACAGCGAGAGAGAGAGAGAGAGAGAGAGAGATCTAATAAGAGAGAGAGAGGGGTAGACACAGTGAAAAAATAGAGAAAGAGAAATTGTGTATCTGACAAAGAGAGTATTAGAGTAAGATAGAGAGATGGAGATAGAGTAAGATAGAGAGGTGAAGAGAGAGAGAGAGAGAGAGAGAAAATGAGAGAAAGACAGACAACAGGGGTAGTGAAAATAAAAACAGGATTAATAAAAAATAGGAAAGACATGATACAGTTTTGTTTGTGCAGAATGATTTAGTACACATGAACAGTTTGCAATTGTGCTTAATAATAAAAATGATTTTAATAATCCTATACATAGGGTTCTAAGAAAGATTCATATTGCCACTTTTTAAATATTAGATTTGTCCTTTACACAATGATGAAATTCACAATTACCTCTGCGACCATAACAATACAAAAATCTGCCTTTAATTCCATTACTATGATTAACTTATGATAATTTTTGTCTGCAGAGCTTTCACCATATAATGCATCAGTCACCTAAAATAGCTATGACTCAAGCCTGATATTCATGCTTCTTCACAGTCTATAGTGACAGGTTACCTTGGTTTTTAAAGTGATGAATTTAAGTCCAGCATTTTAAAGTTGTACATATGTAGTATATAAGATTCTTGGCGCTAGTTCACAAGTGTGCCCATACTTTGGACCCAAAACACACTAAAGCCAAAATTCAGAAAGAAGGTTAATCTAAAATCAAACTTCATAAGAACAATATATGCGGTTAGCCCTATGTCTTATGCATGGGCGATGTGCAATCATTTAATTATTTTACTCCTAAGTGGAGATACAAACCATGGCTTAGACCATGTTATAGTCTCAAACCCAAATTTGGAATTCAGGTCTGGAAGTTATGCTGAGTTTAAGTGATGTGGTTGCATTAAAAAGAAAAAGCCTGCAAAGACAATTGTCTGTGAGATTAATTATTTGTATATACTTGTAGTTAATAAAGCAAATGAAAAGTATAAATGAGACAAACTGGAGATTGAAATTGGAATTTTTCAAGTAATACAATTTTTTTTTAAAAGTTGTTTTATTAAACCATATCAGGAACAAATATACACTGCTGTATTTTTCACTTGCTCTCATTGTAAGTGTAAGGGAGAAAGATAATGATTATTTCATTGGTAAAATATTTCATAATCCTTTGATGATGTATCTTAAATGATGTGATGGAATATTCCCTTCTGTATTGCAGCTCGTACCATATTACATGAATACTGATATACAGGTAGTCATCATATTTGTATAACATATTATATATATAAACAGAAACAAAAACAAACAAAATGATATTGACTGTGATGATATGAAGAAGCCCTGCAGGGAATAATTTTCCTCAAATTTTTTGATTAGCAATTTCAGCCGATGGATAAATATTTCAAATGAAATTCTGTACATTTCTATGGAAGAAAACTGCTACACAAAAGATATTTTGTATAGCAGTCATGCAAAAATGCATAGCAAATTGCGATGCGATACCAGGAAAATTATTCCCTGCCCTGTGACTGGAGCATAATTCCCAAATCTTTCCAAATTCTATGAATACATCCTAACTAAACCATGTTTCCTTTGTACAATCAAGTGTGTAAGCACACATACAGGTTAAGGTTGGTCAAACCAATTGTAAAATCTACTGAGACAACAGTAAATATCTACCCACATTACATTTTATGACCGTTCTTTTTTATGCACACAGTATATTCCATGATACACGGTCTACTGTTTTTATAATGGGAATACAAATCTCTTCATGAAACACATCCATCACTGTTGCATACACATAGCATACCTGCCAACCACCCCGATTTAGGCGGAGTTTCTCCGCATTTTTCATACCAACTCCGAATTCCGAGTGCATACCTCAAAACTCCGATTTTTTTTTAATTTTAATTTTTTTTTTTTTTTTTTTTTTTTTTTTTTTTTTTTTTTTTTAATAATTTTTTTTTAATTAATATTTTGTGTGTGCGTCCGCCATTTTCAGTGGCAAAATGTCCATTCTGTCCTGTAAAGTATCCTACAAGCATCTCACATCAGCAATTTGGGGATGTTTATTCATACCTGCGTATAGCCCACGTGTATTTATATTACATGTGCAGTTGATACGCCGTGCATAAACACTGTATACATTGGCGTGTTTTCTTCAATGCTTGTGCGATGACTGCGATCGTGGAAGCTTGTTATTTACCGGACTTCCTCAGATTTATTTTGGATTACTACTACTATATACCTTTGCAAAATAGGGCTCCTAACTGAGGTGGGTAGTGAAACATGTAGTTTTGTGAGTGTTCACATTTCAAAAATTGTTTATGTGTGGGGCGAAAAGGTTGAAGGAAAAGGCCCATTTGCACCATTAAAATGGAGAGAAAAAAAATAGACCCTAAAGTCCTGTGTACCCCCCCCCCCCCCCCCCAAATCTACGGGCTACTACCCCAATCCTTCGGTGGTTCGCGACCTCGTAGTCCATCCAGAAAAATTTACTCCTAATTTCTCTTGTCTCAGGTTGGCAGGTATGACATAGTGGAACGTCTTATGTTCAACAAATATGTGATTATGTGGCATCATTTATAAATGTTATAACTAAGAGATATTCAGCTTTTATAAGAAATTGCAATATATATACTTGTAGTTAATAAAGCAAATGAAAAGTATAAATGAGACAAACTGGAGATTGAAATTGGAATTTTTCAAGTAATACAATTTTTTTTTAAAAGTTGTTTTATTAAACCATATCAGGAACAATCCATCATGTATTCCATCGTCGGTGCAATGTTCTGTTACATTGGAATACAAATTGTGAAATAACTTGTTAATTAGAGGCCTTTATCAGTATTTTTCTCTACCTTATAAGTATTTTCATAAGATGGGATTTGTCATGCTTAGAATTTAAAATCATTATTGTGTTTCTATTTTTCCAGAGCCCAAAATACAGCAGTTTCTATGATGGAAGTAACAGAGGATTCTGAACCAACCCTGTCCAAATCAGATGTGGTTCTCTCATTTACATTGGAGGTAATGTTCCAGGACAGTGTTGTATCGGAGGCGTATTGGGGGGGGGGGGGGTTGTCATGGGGAGGGCATGCCCCATCATTTTTTTAATCAACTCCCATATAGCATGACATTAGTTTTGGAGTATACATGTATGTCACCTCTCTTATTCTTACCCGTACAAGAATACTGTTACAAGATTAATTGTTGGAGGCATTTGCACCTTTCGACTGCAAAATCCTTGATTCCCCATCATACATGTAATGTAATCTAGTTAGGAGATAGTGTAGTTAACTCTTTATCTTTATGAAATCATGAAGCTTTTATCCAATTTACCTCTTAGGATATTTGCAGATAACCCTACCTAGTTTCTGCAAAGCTTTTCGGCTCATTCTTTCAACGCTTTCCCCCCATTATTATTAACAAAAAGCAGAAACTGGTCTGTCACATCAAATTATAAAACTAGTTGATTGTAACCAGATATCTTGTGCATAGAGATCCAAAATCAATTTGCCAACAAAATGGTAATGTACGTTGAAATTGGAGAAACAAATTTGATTAGGTCAGTATTAGTGTTTATTTATTATTGAATTTACAGCAGTGTTATATTGAATTGCTTGTGGGAAAGTGATCATTTCGATCTAGATTGTATAGGCTTTTGAAACATGAATTGATGCAGTTAGTTGCATTTATGCCTGTACCTCATGGGAATTGATGAAATACATGTATAATACAAATATAGTAGTATATACAAGAAAATATCAGGGTCTGACATCAGTATTCATGTAACAACTATTGATGCAGCAAACAATAAAACAAAAACAAAAACAAAAAGCAGGTAGATTGGTATATATATCCTATTAAGTGTATAATCTTTCACCATAGGCTCATTCAGATATGATGTGCCAAATACGCTTCACGTTTCTGTATCTTATAACACAGAACTCATTGAATATGCGCAAGTCCTTTCTTGCACGCAGTTTCCTTTCATTTACAAAAACTGAAGCAGCATTTTTGTGGTTGTTTACCAAGCCATATCTTAACAAGCTTTAAGTTGTGTATGAATAATGATCATATAATAAAATACGATGTCTCTACAATCAATATAGTTGCAATCAACGGGCAAGTGTGTGACCATTGGATGTAAGTTTTTTAGAGGAGAGAGAATAAGTGATATCCTGGTCAGTTTAGAATCCTCTACTGCACCATGGAGGTTCCCTTTCAACAGACGTTGATTTTCAATTATTAGATAGTAATACCACACATCTAATGGTTGCACACTTTTTAATGGCTCCCTACAGGTAGTAGTGATGGAGGTGCAAGGCTTGAAGTTCCTAGCACCTAACAGGATCGTCTACTGCACCATGGAGGTAGAGGGAGGAGAGAAACTACAGACTGATCAGGCGGAAGCAAGTAAACCAACGTAAGTATACAGTCAAACCCTCAAATCATGGCATTAACTACAAAAGGTCCTGTTCTCGTATCACCAGTAAAGACATCTATAACAGTGAAACCTGCTTTAGTAATCACCTCTGTAGAAAGACCACTTGCTGGTAAAGATCACTTTTTTTTTTCTTCCTGTAAATAAAGTTTCTCATTGAAAAGTGTCTTAAAGCAAATTGTACATTAAGATCACCTTCTTCTAAAGACAATTTTTCTTCTCTCCCTTGAGTGGTTTTTATATACAGGTTTCACTTTACAATGAAATGGTCTCCTGGATTTTATGTGAAAAAGGTATTCGATCTGAGATCAATGATGCTAGAGGCTCATTAGCATAAATCAACATTAACATGAACATTAGGAGACCGATATCTATTAATAGTTATAGTTATTGTAATAGAAATGGGAGATTTGCCCCTGGAATGTGGGATTCTGAATGGCTGAAAGTCAAAGTCGTATTTGACTATTACATTCAATCACCACTTTTGTGAAGCTCGGGATATCTTTATTTGCCACTTACGTTTCGATAAATAAATGTAATTTGTATTTTGGAATGTGTACACATAAGGCCACCAGTGTATTACCACTAAAGTCCACTTTCTATTTTATAAGGAAAGACTACTCATCTTGAAAAGTAACTTTTTGAAATATTTTAATTATAGCAGCTGCTATCTTTTATATTTTAAGAGAAACAGAATTTGGAACATGTGCAGACAGGGGCCACTGCAGTTTTACATGTACATCTCTATTATATATTGGTTTTGATGAAAGTAGCTTCGGTGATTGACACGGATCATAAGTGATGCATAAAAAACACTGTTATGTGATCATCCATCCATTAGTAATAAAATCAGCAAAAAAGCTAATTACACATTGGAAGATTTATTAATGGTCAGAGATGATGCAACTTATTCTTCTTTTGGGGCGTCACCTCTTAGAAGATTGGCCGCATCCCCATTCCATCAACACATATCCAATCTAAATGCATTTTATCATCAATCAGTGGAATTGCAAACCCTCTGCAAAGACAAAAAAAATACCAATCACAAATCCCCCCCCCCTCTCAATTTCCAACCACCTAGGAGCAAATTTATGAGATGTCAATATTGACTCTTGGTGTGATGAATTGGTTGACCTTTGACCCGCGGACTTCATCCCATTTGAGCGGCACTGCATGGAAAGTGAGTGAGGGGAGTGTTTATCTTAGTCAGGTTTGGAGTTGATGAAGAAAACAAACAGTGGTAGACTTTGCTGAAGAGGAGCAATACATCAACGTCAGTTCTGGTTCTTAATTGGGAGTGGCAATAGCTGTGTATATAAGCAGTAGACACAGGCTTCTTCTCTCCTGCTGAGACATACATAACCCCCCACGTTCACACTACCCAAATTAATCATAGAATTATGGCAATAATATGAAATTACCGTATAATTATATATAGCTATAGGATAAGTAGTTGATTTCTTGTTTAGTCTGAACATGGTATAACGTAACATCATACAGCGGAAAACATAGTAGAGTATCGTTTCAACCCAAAACTCAATAAATGATCAGAGTCCCATTCTCATCTAAATGTCACATCAAACAAAAAGCGTACAACAGAGTAGGGCTTATTGTGAGCATGTATTGATCATGAATGACCAGTTTCATGTCCATTGACCCCTCTCCCGAATGTGCTTCTTTATACAATGTTTTTCTTACATGATGTCGTTATCTAGTGTGTATACTGCTTTTATAATATAATGATTATTTATAAATTTCTTTTGACGAGTTTCTCGTTAATTTTTTGGAGTATGAACAGGCTGGTGTACACATGGTAGAGCAGTTTCATTTAGCTTTAATGATTTCTCAGTGCCTGAGAACTCTATGCATCTAAGCTTAATTGAGTGGGTCAATATATCAAGTTGATCTATTTTTTAATGAATTATGAAGCCCAGAGGATAGCATTTACCATATCACCATCTTCTATGGTGATATGAGAATCTTGAGAGCCTTATTGACATTCTTACTCACATTTTCGTCTTAAAATTGCACTATATTAATTGGTATTATAGATATGAAGATTTTACTATTTCTCCAATCTCTTTGTACATTTCCCCTGCTCTCTTATATGCATCTTTCTTGTGGAAAGTACTTGAAATGGACTTTCATGACCTTGTTATATCTCAAGTGCCAGCTCTTATCCTCCACCAATTCTCTCTCTCTCTCTCTTCCCCCTCCCTCACTCCCTCCCTCCCTCCCTCCATCTGTTTATTTCTTTGTCTCTCTCTCTCTCTCTCACTCCTCCTGTCTTTCTGTCTGTCTCTCTGTCTCTCTTCCTCCCTCCCTCTGTCTCTCTTTCTCTCTGCCTCCCTCTGTCTCTCTTTCTCTCTCTCTCTCTCCCTCTCTCTCCCTCTCTCCCTCGGCCGCTTGTATAATTGTTTACCTATACTAATAGAATATCTGATTTTCTTTTTATAAGCATCATTCTTCTTTGCTTGACCTCCATTAAGCCTTTCAAGCCACCTGATTTCCTTTGAATTTATCGCCCCCTATTTTGTCCTTTTGTCCTTTGTTGTCCAATCTATTGATTCCCTTCTCTGAATTCCCTTAAATCCAATTTCTTTATTGGATTCAAGCTTCACCTTTTTAATTCTAACTGTTTTTGCCTTCCATTCATTCTCCATTCAGTCCCTCTCATCTCTTTCATCTCATTTTCTTTACTTTTAACTATCCAAACATTCTTATAAAATTCTGCCTATTTTCATCTGTCTTTCAATTTGTTTATCCTGCACAGCTGGGATACACAAGGAGACTTCACTACCATTCACCCGCTTCCTGTCGTCAAAATCAAGCTCTACACAGAGAACACTGGAGTACTGAGTATTGATGATACCATGCTAGGCAAGGTAGGACCACTACCCCTACCCCCCCCCCCCCCCCTCTCCCTCAATCAATGCACCACAGTACAAAATCAAGCTCTACACAGAGAACACTGGAGTACTGAGTATTGATGATACCATGCTAGGCAAGGTAAGACTAATGAGCTAGAAACTTTTAGATTCCAATTGAAGAGATATCATTGGAGATTACCAGCCTTGGTAAGCAAGGTAGGACCACTACCCCCCCCCCCCATCAATGCACCACAGTACTACACATCATAAGAGGTGATACCATGTTATATAAAGCAAGGCGGGACCACACCCCTCCCCCTTACCCATCCACAATAATTCACTAGAAACTTTTAGATTCCAATCAAAGAGATATCATTGGAGATTACCAGCCTTGCTAGGCAACGTAGAACCACTACCCCCCCCCCCCCCCCATCAATGCACCACAGTACTACACATCATAAGAGGTGATACCACGTTATGTTAAGTAAGGTAGGACCACACCCCTTCTCCCCCTTACCCATTCACAATAAAGAGCACCACACCCATTACCAAGAGAGCACCACAGTACTACACATCATAATAAATGATACCATGCTATATAAAGTAAGGTAGGACCACACCCCTTCTCCCCCTTACCCATTCACAATAAAGAGCACCACACCCATTACCAAGAGAGCACCACAGTACTACACATCATAATAAATGATACCATGCTATATAAAGCAAGGTAGGACCACACCCCTTCTCCCCCTTACCCATTCACAATAAAGAGCACCACACCCATTACCAAGAGAGCACCGCAGTACTACACATCATAATAAATGATACCATGCTATATAAAGCAAGGTAGGAGCACACCCATCCCCCTTAGCCATTTACAATGAAGAGCACCACACCCATTAACAAGAGAGCACCACATCAGTAGAGATGAAACCATGCTTGGCAAAATGGGACCACACCTCTTCCTTTTCAGACTAAAGAGAGAGCACTGGAGAATATCTTGCATGATAGTTTTCATATCACCACAACCCCCCCCCCCCCCATCTATCCCCCCCCCCCCCCTCCCCCTCTTTTCTAACTCCTTCATCAACATTACTGAAAGGATTGTTGTATCTTCCCCTTGGCTACAGCTGAAAAGCCGAATGAGCTCTGAGTCATGACACAGGATGTCAAGGCATGCAGTGTGGTCAGGTTATAAATAGATCATCGATAGAAACCTTATAGATAGTGGGATCCACCACCACATTGCAAGTATGTCATCTTACGGGCACTGCTGAAATTTAAGATGCTAGGGTATCATGATTAGACCACTTTCCCACATGACAGAGTAAACCTCCTGAAAGACCATGCAGCAACAACAAAAAATACTTTAGAAAATGTGTAAGTTATGAATGCACAGGTCAGTGAGTACGCAACGCATAGAGGTGATGTTAGGGTATGAAGGAACAATTATCTGTTATCTTATCCCATAGAAAACACTATATGACACCCTGAAAACCCCAACTACATTAATTGTTGTATGTATATACCCATTTCCACAGTAAACACTGTGTCTCAACACTTACCTAGTTTTGCAAATGTGTAAAGACTGACTTTCTTGGAGGAGTCTGCGCCTTTTAATTTTTTTTTTAAACAGATATTTGGCACCATGTAAATATTGTGAATCCTCACTGTTATCATTATAATTTTCACTTTATTTTAATTCTTGCCACACAATAAAAGTCAATTTGAAAATGGCATATAATATAATGAGAGTAAGGGTGTGCCAAGCTGCATTGATAAGGAAGAAAGTAAGACATTTTTTCCTGTGAAACATCAAATCTTCAACTAAATAAAACAGATTGAACACCTATTAGCACTTTCATCACTCTTGTCTCACAACAAACAGCCATTTAAAGAGGAATCATGACAGAGAGAGAGAGAGAGAGAGAGAGAGAGAGAGAGAGTAAGAGTATAGGCGTGCCAAGCTAGCTCCATAGATAGAAAAGTAAATAAGACCTCTGACATTTACTCTCCTGATTGTATGCCCGGATCCAAACCCAGCATGCTGCTAAGCGCTTTAGGCCACCCCGGCATGCTACCATCTAAATACAACCCTGCTAATAGATCTATGCATGTATTGAAAATATTGGGTGTGCTAATTGATTTGGCAATTAGTGAGTCACATTCTACGCTCATATATGAATCATGGGACCAAAAACAGAACAAAAAGGGCAGTCATGCAGCTAAGCTTCTCCATTATTCATACTGTAGATGTACTGACCAAAAACTGGACAGTGGTAGTGAAAATATCTGCCTTTTGTGCCAATAATAGTGGCTATATTGGTAATTAGTTTGGTGTTTGTGACTCATTATGCATCACTGAGATGTGAGGGTTGTAAGTAAGCCCCAGTAAGATTGATGTTTCTAATATCACCATGAGACCATTCGACTATAAAACCATGAATGATGAATGAGCAATTTCGTACATTTCATAGCTGCTATAAAAATGAAATTTATTGGACAACTGGTATGTTTGGGTATGTATAGTGTCAGAGGCAGGTATCCCGCCCCCCCCCCCCCCCCCCACTCAGTGTTATTTAGGGTACGCATATGCTCGTTCCCTCTTTTTGAAAGCACCCCCTATCTGAGGACTGCCAACATTTCCGAACCCCCCTTCCGCAGGCTTTTCGCAGGCTTTTCCTGCCTTGGAGACCCCCCTAAATCATTAAAAATGCTCAATGTACCCCCCTGAATTCAGAATAATTTTCTCAGGAGTCCAAAGAGATGAGAGAAAAAAAGAAAAAACACCCCCTTTTTAAAGAAATCTCCCGGTGAAAAGTTAATACACCCCTTTTTTTACAATTGTCGGGCCATACTTTGTCGACCGAAAAGTACCCCTTTACCGGACATTTTGGTAACACGCATGGGGTTCGTCCGTTCTTGGAGTGGGGGAGCCAGGGCAGGTATGCAGTGTAGTGCAAAGTTAATATAATCGCAGGCCAAATTCTGATCTTTGAAAAAGATGTACATATAAAGCAATTAAATTTAATGTGTTTTGAAACATGACACACAATACGCTTTAAAGGTAATACAAAGTTTTGGTATGGGGTCGTGAATTTGGTTCAAATGAACATATTGGAAGCATATGCGATCCTACAATATTCACTGATCGTTGTCGCGGTCGAAATCGACTCTTAAGTTATGAAATTGTAAATAATAAACACTTTATGTTGTATAGCTCCCTCTCAAGGTCAAATATTCATTAAGCTGTAAAACAATGTTTCTTGACTAAAATCGACCGATTAGCTATTCCCGTTCGGAAATTATATACCACAACTACATATTCTGAGATTTTCATGGTCGCAGCTACCATTGTACGGCCGTAGGTGCTATTTGAAATTTTTCAAAATTTACCGGGAGCACCGGTAAATCTTTATATTCAATTTTTCTCGAAAGCAGAAGTGTTTTAGGGGCTAAAATTTCTAGTCCTTTTAATTCATCCCCAGAGGCATCCAAATATATCAAAATTGTAAAGAATCACTATCCACCCATTTTTCAAAATTTCCCAAAACTTTGTAATACCTTTAATAAAAAGCCTGCGGTAGACAGTCGCATATTACTTTTTCATATGTGAAAAAGCTTTTACAGCACAAACATGTATAGGCCTGTAGAAACAGAGAGTTGTTTATGAAATTGATATTTGGAAAAATTCATCCACTCAATGTTGTAGCCATGGTTTCAAATTACAAATTTTCAAATGTCAAATACATATGGGTGAAGACTTTGTATGTTTTGTAATGAGTCTTCTTCATGGTCATCATGTTAATTAGATTAAACCTGCAGTAACAACATGACTTCAGGCAATCATGAATGATATTAAAAGGGTTTTGCAGTTCTTTATTGATTATTTTTGGTTGATTGGCATCATTGAATCTTCTGTATTTTGTTTAGAGGTTCATTCCCAAGAAAATGAAAAAACAGAGAGATACCTTGGAGTTTCATTTTTGATAGGTCTAAAACATGTCTAACAAGAGAGAGAAATTTGACCTCTATAGTTTATCTTATGAACATGCTAAATATATATTTTTTTAATGCTAATTGGAAAATTTTCATCAAATTTTAATATTTTGAAAATTTATTCACTCAAAGTTGTATGTCATGGTTTACAAACTACCCAGAACTTGCTTTTAGTAATTTCAAATGTCATATACACAAAGAATGAAAAATTTGATTATTAGATATTCATCAATGTTTGATAATGACATGCTGATTAATTAAGTATTTTTTGTAATTTTCATTTTGAGGCAAAAAGACACATCAGCAAAGCACAATAGCATGTACACAATATGTGCCTATATCTTATCCAGCTATGCTTACTCCAGCAAGCGTACATCGTTTTGCTAGAGTAGAAGTTTGTTGCCCGTTAATTAACCACTATTGATCATATCACCATCTCCACTGGGCATGCACAAATTGATTGGCAAACTATCAGTCTGGCTTATACTGTACATGCCATACTGGCCAATATGTGAATGGATGATTTTTACTGGAAACCATTATTCTGGAGAATAATTGGTTTCTATATACTCAGTAAAGATACCACCAGCGAGCGAGTCGATTAGAGCCTTCAATATCATAGTACACATTGTAGCTTTTATGCGTGTTTCAGTATTTGCCTGTATACATACATGTACGTACAGGTTAACTGTTCAGTGATGATGTAGATTTGTCTTGTGACTGTGTTAGCTCATTGGGGTTATACATTGTTTTTGTTGAATAATAATAGTCACATTTGTATGATATTTATCACTGCATTTCGAAGCACTTTACATTGTAATTATTATCACCCTGGTCATTGGATTCAATTGCTAATCCATACGGGATAGTGCTCTGCTCCCTTTAGAGTATCAGGGTCAGATGTTATTTTACAAGCGCACACATGCCAATCCAACTTAAACACCTGGGTGGAGAGTGGCAAATGTAGATTTATGTTGTGTCAAAGGACATTATAGTGCCGCGATGGGACTCCAACTGCGCACCATGTGATCCCAGTCCGATGATAAATCCACCAGACCACAACACTCCACAACACTCCTATATCCTACCCATATGATTGGTGGAATGTAGTCACATGTGGTTCATTAACTTAGGTTTTGCTTTCCATTGATGATGTCATTGACCAATTGCAATTTTCACCGTTGTAAAATAAAATAACAATGATCTAGGAGGTTTGTTGTATAAAACAAAGGATCCATGTCTTTTTAATCATTCATTATACAATCTAATCCACTCTCGATGTACCTGTGAGCACCGATCGCACTTGACATAATGATTTCATATGACACTCGCTTACTTTATACTGATAGATCAGTATAATTAACTAATTGATATGCATTATGTGTAAGACATCCAATCTAATCCGTTGAGAGCCAGAATGGCATTAACTCTGTAGTTCTGTACGTGATTTAATGCCCTTCTGGCTCTTAACAGACCATATGTTTTAAGGTCATTGAACCTGCAGTTGAGAGCTCATTAGTGGTTTGTGGTATGTTCATATCTAAAGTAGATTTTAGACTAATTGAAAACCACTGAATTCTCTCTTTCCCATAGACTTAATACAAAGTCCACCCAGTACCCATACGCAATGGGCTATTGTTTAGGATTCATTTAGTTTTATTAGGATTCATTGTCTATTCTCAAGTACATCATGTTATATAACATAAGTATGTGTTATGTAACAAATTGATTTGTTAATGATTAGGTAATCAACTGACCCCGTTTTCTTTAAAAATTCACCCCTTTTCTCAAACTGTGCAATGTTTGTCTGTAAATACAAAAAAATGAATAATGCATTGCATGCTCAATCCCAGGGTATTGTTTACTCCACTCACTTGCATATAAAATTATCAGTGGACATTCAACATCTTATAGTGATATTGTTCTTACCACTTAAAGGGACACTAAACATTTTAAGCCACCTATATCAATTTGTAATGGAAGTTGAGTGCTATCAATCATTATATATGTATACACATTTTGATGACTGGGCATGCTTTGGATTGATGAGAAAGGGCATCATATCCTCCAAATTTGCATCCAAGTTCCACTTTTAAATGAATTAATAAGGATTATGCGTGTCATGAAAAAAAAAATTATCTTAATCTCACATTTCTCTATTAAGGATAGATTATATGAACACTCAACAGTAAAGTATTCCATAAAGTAGATTTAAAATTTAGATATAAGAATCTAGAATCAATATTCAGAATGTAACAATTTTATGTAAAATTGATAGATCGACATAACTTTAGAAAATGGAGAGTCCAGTAATAGTGTCTTCCTGTTCCTATTCATTTGATACAAAGGTTATTGTCATCCTTACACCGAATAATTCAAAATTTTTGGTTCCTATTCTTTTTTTTCTTTATAAGCCAACACCAAACATTCCAAAGACTTCTGAGTGGCATTCCATGTTGCCCGCAAATCAAGTGCCTAATCCTTTGAAATTCCGACATCATAACTCCTGAATTATAATATGTAGAATTTTGCATTCAACAATCTGGGAAGAAAATATTCAAAATATCAATAATATGGCACAAGAAATTGGTACCGTATTTAAATCTGAAATGGAAACTCAAGCAATAATTGTTTCTCTTTTTTGTGTTGAAGGTAATCATCAAGCCGACACCAAACAGTCCAAAGACTCCTGAGTGGCATACCATGTCGCCAGCAAAACAAGTGCCTAACCCTATCAAAATCAGAATGGCCATTCGCATGGACAAACCTCAGAACATGAAGCATTGTGGGTGAGTACAGAGCTGACAACCAGTACGATTTAATGTTATTTCGTATGATTTTTAGAAGTAAATACGACAGTACAATTTTTCTTTTCTTTTTTTTAAATATTGTTTTTATAATAATTTTGTTGTATTGTGTGTGTGTGTGCCATGTTCAATGGAAAAATGCCCATTCTGTCCTGTAAAGTATCCTGCAATTGGTAATTTGGGGATGCTCAACAAGCACATCAGTCATGACGAAATCCTGCATATTCAACCAATGATCCATTTAAAAAAAAGTATGTAGGAACTGTAAGAGGCATCAATCCATGTTTCTCTTTTTTTAATACAATTTTTGTCAGTAAAATTCAACTTTTAGGATTAAAGAATACAGTTTTTGAACTCCAGAGGTTGGCAGGTCTGTGAGTATACCGGTATGCACCTACATATTGCCTAGGTGTTGAGGTCCACAAGATGAAAAACTTACAACTTGAAGATTTTTGTGAACATTCAGGATTATTTCCTGTTGTTTCTATTTGTGCTTGATACTGTGGAATCAGTGTCAGATGGCTGTTATAATGTAAAGTCTTCGTGAATAAGGTTAAGAGTTATCACAGTTTAAACAATATTTTAAGTTTTGATTAATATTACACCTATTTAAAGCTATTTCTTAACGATAATGAAGGTTTATGTTTTTTTTCTTTTCATATGTTTCTCATCTGAGTCAACACAAAAATAAGATCCTTTTCTTGATGTCTTCATATATTATCAATAAATATTGAACTATATTAAATATCAATTTGATTTTTACTTACAATCTTCAAATCAAGATTGTATGTATACCGGTAACAGAATTAAGGTGCCAGTTATTGTGATTGACTTGTCAAGATCCATCTTCTGCAGGACCTTTTTGATCTATCAGGTAGTAAATCACTTTGTGTTTTTTACTTTAAAGGTGGAATTTACTCAGTTCACAATTGTATTTCTGTATTTCAGATGGATGTATTGTCTTGGTAAGACAGTCTGGAAGAAGTGGAAGAAGAGATTCTTTGTACTTGTTCAAGTAAGTTTTTTAAACTTTTTTACGGGAGGGGGATTGATTAATGTTTCATTGAAGACTCCAGCTCCATGCAAATAACGTTTATGTTAGTATTTGTTTATGTCTCAGCAGTTAGTCAAATTGTTTTGACCTTTGCCTTGGCATTTGAATAAACACATTCTAAAAATGAATAGTAATAGATATTTTGTGGCGAAGGAAGTTATTGAACATTCACCGATATCACAACTGTCATGTTTCTTTTCTAGGTATGTTATTTTCAATCCAACACTGATCACTGCTCTTGTGTTAAATCTATATTACATTAAAAGTATAGAAACACATATAAAGAATATTAAACCTACATATCCAGGGTTCAGTGACACAAAGACGTAACTCCATATTTTGCCAAAATGAGTATTTATTATCAAAATGTTCAGTAAAATGTGGGCTTCCAGGAAACACAAATGCTTAACTCCACCCAACATCCCATTGAAGTCAATGGCTAGTGAAACATAGACTTAACTCCTTGAGGTCCAAGTGCTCAGTGACACATAAACCACTTTTTCTCAAAATGGCCATAATGGAGTAACGTCTTTGAGTCACTAACCCCTCGATATTAGCCTCACTTTACAAATGACATTTCCCTTGTTCGACTTGCAGGTGAGTCAGTACACATTTGCGATGTGCAGCTACAGGGAAAAGAAGGCCGACCCTCATGAAATGATGCAACTCGATGGCTTCACGGTCGACTACACGGACGCTCTCACAGGTAGAAGTCATGCTCCAGTTATGGGGGTCAAAGCGTTGACTATTTATCTACATGGTGTGTCACTCTGTAGATGTTCAAAAGACAGATTTATGATATTATACTCAGATATCATCATCTTGTGCTTCCTTTATTCTTTATTCATTTTGGACCCCGTTTATTTTTCCATTTTGGGAGCCTGTCTACGAGCACAACGCTTCTGAAAGGGTATCCCATAGTCATTATTTTGAACGTTTGATGTGAGTGTACATGTGCATGTGTTATTAGATAATGGTATTAGATAATGGTAAATCAAGTAAATGAAAATTTTCTAGAACAGTATTAAATTAAACTGAGATCAATTTCTAGATCTAGATAGGCCTAATCTTATTTCAATTTGTAGTAAATGCATTTACTTTTTATACAATAGTGATAACGATGATGTTGTTGTATAATTTGTCAATTTATGTCTTGTTTCTTCATTGGTTTATGTTTTGTTCTCGTAAATTTAATTTCACCATTTCTTTTCTTTTTTTCATCTTATGATTTGCACACAGATTTTCATTATTTTTTCCCCTCTGTTTGTTCTACATCCATTGGAATTTGGACAAGATGCTTTATGCCAAAGATATCAAGTTAACTTTTCATGTCCCTGGCATTCCAATGGTTGTATTAATTGTCTCATTTGTGTAATTGGTCATTTTGAATGCTAATGTTTGTCCTTTCCAAGATAACATAGTTGTAATGATAATGATAAGTAATGAATACTAAGTGCACAGAGCTCAAATAGTACCTTGATGCCTGCACAATTGTAAATGAACAAATAAATATGGAGTGTTTAAAGCATCTCTAAAAAGTAACTCTGCAACATGTAGCAGTATAACGTCCAATACTTTAATGCAGACTTGCTTAAAAGGTTGTTCAAAAACATTCATGGTAGCTAAGAAAAGACATTATGTCAGTCACGTTAGCATTATTGAGATTTTTTTGATCTATCATATCAAATTGTTCGTTGTTCTTTGTATGTTCGAATGTTCACATGATTTTATGCATTTAATGACCAAGTTCCATACTTAACACACTGCCATCTTTATCTCCCATCTCTCTCTCTTGCGCACATCAGAACTTGAATGCCAAGGAGGACGTTTCTTCTTCAGTGCTGTCAAAGAGGGCGACAGCATTGTGTTTGCCTGCGATGAAGAGGTGGACAGACAATTCTGGGTGCAGGCGATCTACAGGGCTACCGGTCAGTCACACAAGCCTGTACCACCAACTCAGCTTGCAGGTGGCAAGGGCTCCAATGCTATCATATCCAGGCAACAAGGAGGTAGGTCCAATTAAGTGGTCATACCATTTGGTCAGTCACTGCAGTATGTTACTGTGGTCAGCCACTGTGGTCAGTCACTGGATCAGTAACTGGGTGGTCACTGGTCAGTTACTTTGGAAAGTCACTGCAGTATGTCACTGTGGTCAGCCACTGTGGTTAGCCACTGTGGTCAGTTACTTTGGAAAGTCACTGTGGTCAGCCACTGTGGTTAATCACTGTGATCAGCCACTGTGGTCAGTTACTTTGGAAAGTCACTGTTGTCAGCCACTGTGGTTAATCACTGTGATCAGCCACTGTGGTCATTTACTTTGGAAAGTCACTGGATCAGTAACTGGGTGGTCACCGGTCAGTCACTCTTGTCAGTTACTGTTGTCTGTCTTGCACTGATTGGTCAATATGGTCGGTCATTGTCGTCACATCAATGTGGTCAGTCACTGTGGTCATTGCACATGAGCAGTTATATAGATACTAATGCTTAAAGGAACATCTAAGGGGAAGGGCAGTAAGTCCTCTTGTGTACAACAAGTGCAGCCCCTTTGCAGAAAACCTAGCTATTACAATTATGAAAAGAGTTGTCAAACTTTAGTGCCCTCGAAATCAAGAAATGCTAGAATTACACTTAAATTTGTTCTAACTTAAAATTCAATTAAATGCACACTCAAATGGCAGCATATCCTTTTGAATGTAAAGTTATCTACCGTATTCTACATTTACAAGCATCTCTTAACTTGTAATTTTTAAACTTGTCTGCCCTCTTTCTGGATTGTCCTCCGTTTACCACATTTCCAATCAATTTAAAATATATTCTGCAAGCAAAGTTAAAATTGAAATGAAAAGTATTTTGTTGTCAAGCTTTTCTTATCAATTTTGTAAAAAGGGATGAGAGAAAACAGCTAAGGAATCTGAATGTAAATGAACACTATTACATTGATCACTTTCATAATAATGTTATCGATCTTTTCAGATGCTGATCGAGCCAGGAAGCATGGTATGGATGAGTTCATACACAGCGACCCATGCAAGTTCATACACTCCTCTCTCTTTGAGACTCTACAGGAGCTTACACTAGATCACAGGCTTAATGATTCCTACTCATGTCTGGTATGTTCGAATTCTAGGTCTAGTTCTGGTAGTGGTTCTAGTTCTAGTTCTTAAACATGTTCCTGTCCTATGAAACCCATCAACTCTCAGTTCAAGTTCATATCCAAATTTGTTATACTGAATAATAATAATGCCCATGGATACCAAAACATGGTTGTATGCGTTTCAAAGGAAATGTCATTGAAAGCACAGTGCTCGTGGCTGGAGTCCTTAGAGTTAAAAAAGTACACGAAGCCAATTCAAGTTACAATTATAGTTATCTAATCATTCCGCAAATCAAGTACTTTCTTTATCAAACCAATTAATACAAAATCACCCTTTTGTTTAACTTTGCTATATAAGTAATGGTGTCTTCTTATTTCTCCATCATTATCAATAACATGCTTGTATACATAGACCTCATAGACCTCAGAAATGACACTTGGTTATTAAATGTAGATTAGTCTAACCTTTCATCTATCTTGATATCTTTATACAGGGATGGTTTAGTCCTGGTCAAATCTTTGTCCTCGATGAATACTGCGCAAGGTATGGAGTCCGAGGATGCCATAGACACCTATGCTATCTAAACAACCTGTTAGACAGAGCAGAGAAAAGCACCAAGATTGATCCCACTCTCATTCACTACAGCTTTGCTTTCTGTGCATCCCATGTCCATGGGAACAGGTGAGAAAGGATCACCACTCTTCATATATCGGCTATTTACTGAATTTAGCAAGTGAATAGAAGAGTTTTGCCATTGCTGTTGATTATAGTTTGAGTTTAAATTGTGAAGGTGGGGAGGGGGAGGGGTACCTTTATTTGAAGAACCAAATGACTGTGGGTGTAGCCTAAGTATGATCTTACTTGTTCGATCTGATGGTAATAGAAATGGTGATGGAATAAATAACATTATATTGTGGAGAACTGTCTCTTTCTTGTCTCTTTGTTTATGGGTAAATGGATTATATCTTTTGTCTTTCTGTTTCTCGCTGTTGGCATTTGACAAGGCAATCATTTCATGTGCTTACTAAATAAATACAGTGTATTTCAGAATCTTTAAAGGTAAAGACCAGTTATGGTCATGCGATTGCATTGTGAAAGAAACGTTGTGGAATCGATCAGAAAAGGTTGATCATCTAGCATCTAGTATCTGCAAGGTTCTGGAATCATCAAAATGATAAGAAATTTGGCCCATTCTTTGTAAAGTTACAAGCACTATACACAGAAAGATGTATATGGGACTACCCTATATCTCTCACAGACCATGAGAGAAACAAATTTACCAAATATATGAATTAGTAGGCAGTTTCCCGGCAAATTTGTTATCATCATGTATTAGTCAAAACATATTCTTTCACATGATTGGTAATGAGAGCTTCCATTTCATTTTTTGAAATTGGGGCGTTTCCAATACTGGTCTTTACCTTTAAATAACCTATTTAATACTAAATTGCTTCTCTATAATTACTTCCTATGATTTCATCCCATACCTTTCCATTGCTCTTCTCATCTCTCATGGTACTACTAACTCCATTTTGCCCTCTTCAGACCTGATGGTATAGGCACAGTGACCATCGATGAGAGAGATAAGTTTGAAGAGATCAAGGAGAGGCTTAGGATTCTTCTAGAACATCAGATCACAGAGTTCAGGTCAGTTCAAGATTTCATTCAAATTATTTATTTTATAGTGTAGCTACTATATACTGTACATTAAGTACAATGTCTATCAATATTAGAGCAGCTACCGTGGTAAGGCACTCATCTTGGTGGATAGCAGCGAGTGTAAATTCTTATCTAGCCAAAAGTGGTTGCATGGTGTTGTGGTTGAGATTTGAATCCTGTACCTTGTGATCCAGATGTGATCCACAACACATTTACTATGCAAAGTGTTAAATGTGTTTATTCCAGTACTGTTGAGACAGATTTGGTCACTGAGTAATTCATTTGTATGAGAATGAAGTAATTGTGAAATGTGACATGGAGCCTAAAAACTGGGTAATCTCTCATTTTGGGCAAAATATTTTGAGAATATCATCTACCGTACTGTCATGTCAGCATGAGATCCTAAACATAGTTTGATATAAATGATGCATTGAGGTAGGTATATTATTTGTTTTTTATAAGTGTAGTCTGTAAATTTTAATTAATTAACAAGTTTGTTGCCTTTTCAGATACTGTTTTCCCTTTGGAAGGCCCGAAGGAGCACTGAAAGCCACACTTTCTCTTCTAGAGAGAGTAAGTAGGCCTATCTCATTACCCCCGATGTCGAACTGTCTCAAAACAATCAACAAGTTGGCAATTTTTTTCCTTTTGATTACACTCCCATGCTATTTGTAAGATTGGAACAATATTTTACATAGCAATAATTAATGTTGCCAATGTTAACAGTATTGTGACCAACATTTTCACAACTTTTGGTAATGTCTATTGAGGGGAATTGAGCAGATCTGATTGATATTCTTGGGGTGTGTTTTGGATATTGAGATAATTTAAGCGTTTCCAATGATTTGTGACGTTTATACTAATGAAGACTGTCACCATATTTACCATAGTAGTTATCATCTTATAACTAATAATTAAATGATATGGACAAAAGACTAGAATGCGTCACTTACTCCAGTTCTTATTTTAATATTTTGTTTGTTACAGAATATGAGATTATTTTACTCTTAGCCCTACATTTCAGGCCTAATTATTATTGATATAAATGTATTTAGGATTTCACATTAAAATTTTCTGTAAAGAATGGGATTATTTTTATTTTTCATCATTGATCCAAAACACTAAACATTCCAATTCAAATTTCAAGCATCTTATGAAAGACAGTGAATCGAGTAGATATACTCTAGACTACTACAGACATGCCTCTTTAAGGGTTGTTTTAGTAAGCCATTCAGATTCAAGGCCATAAGTTGTTGTTTTCATTTTTAGGTGTTAATGAAGGACATAGTGACGCCTGTACCGCAGGAGGAGGTGCGATGCACAATCAAGAACTGCCTCGAGGCGGCCGCTCTCGTCAATTACGAGAGAGTGTCAGCAAACACCAAGATTGAAGGTGAGGGCTTGGTAAACAGCATCAAATATCAGGAACTGAGATATTTAGAGAGCAAGGGAAAATATCCTTTAATATAAATGAAACATTCACACAGAACATATAAAGATGTATAAAAGTATGTACTATACCACCAACTTTTGGTGCATATATGATATGTCAAAAGGATACAACCATATGATCATCAAATGACGAAGGATTTTGATATGGTAAAATTTGGTTTTAACAAAAAAGTTTACACTACTTCATTCATGTGTTTGTAATTCATTTACTACATAGCATGGTATTTATACACAAAATAGTGCATTTACTTCAGTCTCTCTATATCTAGATAACACATAATAAATACTTATTTACAAAAAAGAAGGCATTAGACTTGATTGCATGGATTTGGTTCTATTAAAAAACAAAATCAAATTCAATCATATTAGTTTTATGCCTGCATATGATATGAATGAATGAGTGGATATGAAAACTATAGATGTGTTTAATACAGACTTGCATACATATGGTATATTTATGAATGAGTTGATATGAAGAATTTAGATGTGTCTGGGACTCAATCTTCTTTACATTTTTCCTTTCACGATACTGATGAAGCCTATTTTTTATTTTGAAAAGACAAACTTCATTTATTTGTTCATGATTTCAGAATCATCATTTTGAATCATTGTCTATTTGAAAAGAGAGATCAACTCACCTTGAGTAATAGATGAAATAAGTTTAGATATCTTGACAATTATATGTAGTAAACATTTATTGGTCATTTATCCAATTTAAACACTATAAAATCATGGCAACAATTGATTGATTGATTAATTTATTTACTTGTATATTTATTTACGTATTTCATTATTGGCTTATTTATCTCTATGATCTTTTCCAAATTGACTTTACTATAAACTGATTACAACAAATAAACAAATGATATGATTGATACAATATCAAAGTATAGTAATTGAATGATAAAGAAGAATTGTCACATAAGTGGAGCATGGTAGCATGACAATCCCTATAAAACATAGGAATTCCTTTTCACAAAAGAGTGACATTGGGAGAAAATATTTTTTGTCGAACTCACAGCAACAGAAATCAATTAACTATGGGGTTGAAGTAAGACATATGATAACATTCTAGGTATAACTGGCATATGGACATCGTGTTTTCTCTTTCATCCTGAACTTCTTTTTTTTCGGTCATCATTTTTCAGCGGATGGTCAGGAGAGACCGGTCAAAGGTGAACTTTGTGCAGCCCAAGATAGTGGTAGTTTGTCCTCCTTATGTTTGCTTGAGTCTTGTATGCACTCGTTGTTAGCGGTTTAATGTCCGTTGTAACCCCAGCTTCCTGTTGTTGACTCACCCAACCAACAACGTCGCTTTGCAAAACATAACTATTAAATGTATTTTAGTCATAATTACCTTGAGTTTATGTGCTTATGCTGATTAACATGTATTTCAATGTGTTGACCCAACTACAGTTTCTGACTATAAATCAATTGTTAATTTTGACAGATTCCATCTTTTGTATCATTGTTGCTATATAAAAAAAGTTTATAACAATGTGCTTATAACACCTTTATTATTTTCCAATATGATATCACATTCACCTTAAATTTCTTTCTCATAATTTGCTGTCTATTATTTTGTTGTTTTGTTCTGATGGGTTGTGTTAATGACATGTTCGGTGTTAAATTGATTTGAAAAATCTGTGACATTCACACTGCATGACTTGCTAATTAATAATATCTGTGCTAATCCCTCTAACCTTTTTGTTTTTGTTTACTTTCCCTCCTCTTACAAATCCCTGTAAATTTGATTAATGTATAGATGTGTGGTTAGAAGGTATTGTTCAAGCATTATTGGGCTTTGTGCCTACTCCTCTCCCTTTACATTTGTAATTGAAAATTAAACTCCTCTCGGCATACCCATACATCTTTCCAGCCAGAATGGCCTAGATTTCAACCCAACATATATTTTGATTAATCAGTAATCTGGTGCAAAAATAGAAATACTATGGTCAGAAAATACATGTGTCAGATAACAGCAATGGATGTTGATACATGTAATTTTCTTGATGAATTTTGAACTACTGACTCAAAGTCACCTATATCTTTTGTTGTCTTATCCTTTATCATATCTCATGTTGATAAAAAATCAATACTAACATTTTACTTTGAGATTATATTTGCACCAATGTTACTTAACTGTTGAAAAGCAGTATAGAACACTTGTTTTGATTCACAATGTGAATGTTGAATTGCAAGTCAGTTATCTGCTCATTCCAAAGATCCGTGAAGTGTCATATCCCCATGGATCCAAGTTGATATTGTGTTCTTATAAGATGTTATCTTTCAAATGAGTAATGTTGTTTTTTTTCTTAGACTGATTTAAAGTCATAGATGAATTTGTATGCACCACCAAAAAGCAACTGTTGAATATCATGCTTGTTTTATTTCTAGCTATTAGTGATTCTTTTGTATCCGTTTGTATTGATTTGATATAATTTAGTAAAGATTATGTTGTAAATTTAAGAATTTTCTTAAAGCAATAACTAAACACTTATGTTTGTTCACCTTAAGAGTTACAAGCAATTTAGAAATCTAGTAACTTTTTATTTCAGATATATCCTTCTGTCCCACTATATTTACAATTTTTCCTCTCAAGATTGAATATTTTGTTTGTTTTAACTCTATGTTTAGTTTTGTGCGGAATATCTCCAGTGGGAACACACTTCACTGTGCATGTAACCATTCCTAGCTGTTCCAAGAAGTAAACATTTAGCTATTCTTATCTAAAATACATGAATGTAGTAGGCCTGCAATATTATTTAACAGTAAGATTTGGTTTGGACTTGGTGCCTCTGTTACAGAAAGGGTTGATCAGAAAGTTGAAATTCATTTTTATGTGTGGATGCGATATAGAGATACATCAAACTATCTGTGTGCAATAGGTTTTCGTGTGAGTAATAACCTTAAATCAGTGTTATCCTGAAGGTAATCTCTTTTTGTTTTCGTGAACAGAGATCCTGAGCAATGAAGATCTCTCACCAGAAAGAAGACTGGAAGAAGTCATACATCTTGCTGAGTTGTGTATTGATGTCCTACAGCAGAACGAAGAACATCATGCAGAGGTATGGTCACCAGTCTCCCTTCCCCTCAAATCCATCAGCAATGGGTGAAAAAATAATTCTGGATTTAAAAGAATAATGAAATAAGAAGACAAATTAAACCAGGTATACTTATTTCTTTGTAGCCCATCTTTCAATGACAATAATGATTCCTTGAAATCTACACAGCAGCGTCATGAATGATACGCCAATGTCCATAGGAACTGGGAAATCTTTGTATTTAGCTTATGGGAAAAAGGAATTCACGACTCATTTAGTGTAATCATGACAGTTTTGTCTCATTTTCATTAGTTTGACAATTACTCTGCCTGTGTCCAATGTGATTTCCATGGTATGGATTTCATACATATCTTGTATATTGATTAATAAACTAATACTAGTATGTCTTCTGATGCAAATCTATACAACTCATGTAGAAGTATAGGCTATAGACCCATGGAAAACAAAAATCTCTGTGTATAAGAGGCACCTGTGTAGAAGGCGCACCCCTATTTTTTTTTGGGGGGGGGGAAAGAAAAAACCCACGCGGGGAAGGACTTTCATTTAACATCGAGGTGCAGTTGAAGGCGCCGATTTGCGCTCGTGAACTTGTCACAAATAATAGTAACAATGTCGTTTTTAGAAGAACGTGTAAGATCATTAATGTAAATTAAAAACAGTAGAGTACCTAGGATAGAACCTTGTGGTACGCCATGTGTAATACAAGAAAAATTTGAGGAATTATTATTATAAACTACATATCTATGAGAAAGATTGCTTTCAAACCAAGATGACAGAAAAATTGAGTGTTGATGTAGTTTCCGAGTGGTGAGCCAACACACTGATTACTGAGCTGGGAGACATTGCCAGGCATAGCGCCGGGTGGGGGGGCATAAATCTTTTTCTTTTTTTTGTACCTGTGTATAAGATGCACCCCCGACTTTCAATTTTTTTCGGCGGCAAAAAAGTGTGTCTTATACACAGAGGTTTACGGTACACAAATTGCTATTAGTAATGTAAATTATGCATGATAAAAATAGATTTAGTTGAGGAAGCAAACCAATAAATACAAAGCAATAACTTTGAATCCCATTTTAACATACGCTTGTAATTGTTACTTACAATGAAGTGAGAATTCAGTCAACAAAGAGATGGCATACATTTTTCATTAATATGTTGGGACCCAGCTCTTTTAAAGATTACTTCTTAAATGTCATATTTACTGAAATAATTAGGGAGGGTAGCCAAAGATGAATTTGTCAATTTTGCACGAAATTGTGTGTGCTGACCCACCCTACCCCGCAGGCTGATAATGCAGTGTTAGAGGCTGATAGACGGACATTGTTTGTTGTGATCATTTCATGTTACCATAGCAACAGAGTTGTCATCAGTTTTATTTTTTGTTGTTGTTACCCTTTTAGTACACAATTGCACCCCTCCACTCTCCCTCACTCTCCCAGTTCATGTTCTACTACACTGCCATGTCTAACATGTCAAGTCCCCAACATAATTAGCCAACTTAATTAGCCCTTCCCCCTCCCCACCCTACTACCCTTTCTTGCGCCCCCTCCCTGACATATTATAAAGGTTATGTAGATGGTAAAGCTTGATGTTTTTTTTCCTGCATTATTAGTACTTGCTTTTGTAGATATACATTTTAAATAGTTATATTATGAGATTTTAACAGTAATATGAATATTTTAAGTATTAGTGATAGTAATTTATTCATTTAAACAAATTGTGAATAGTAAAGCCTTTCTCTTCGACCCTCTTGTTCCTATTTCAGTGACCTTTGACTCCATTTGATGAGCAGGTCACATCAGTTCACTTTAATTTACAGAACAATAACACCTGATGATAGATTAGATAACCTAGCTCCCTTTTTTACGCTAACATCAGAATAAGCAAAGGCAATTTCCGGAAATGAATCAAATTTTTGTTTAATTCATCAATGTTATGTTTGTTTTGTTCATAAAGTAATTTTTAGAAAGTCTCATTTAATAGTGTGTGAATGTGTTTTTTAATGGAAGGTTTGTGTGTGCTACATGTTTATGTGTATTTTTCTGTATCCTATTATGAAAACGATTACAGAAATAGAACTAGAACAAAGATGACCGTATGGCTTCACATTTATGCTTTTATTACATGTGTGTTAAGATTTATTAGGAGGAATACATTTGATATTATTAGCCTTGTAGGAGAATAAACCATGGAATGAATTTTGCTTCTGATAATAATAATATCTGAATGGGTAGACCATATTGCAAAGTATTATTTCTTAAATATCCAGTGACATAACATTATCTACAATAAGTGTTAAAGGAACTGTAGAACTACTCACATGATTTTTAGTTAAGAGCATAGTATAATGAGTTCATGTTTTAAACACCATTGTTGATGCGTGCCATATATACATGTACATGTAAAATGTTGTGCCATGATTGTCTGTATTTCTGCTGAAATAATTATAGTCCAGTCGATATCATCCATTCCTCATTGCTTGTTGGTGAAAATGCAGCCAATAGAATATTGGCCCATTACACCATGTACCCCATCTACCCTGCACTCCACCCTACCCCCATCCCCTCCTCCTTCATTGTTGGTTGGTCTACGATTACCTACCCCTACCCACCATCATCATCCTCTAATCCTTCCAAACCCCTACTGATTGAGTATACCCCTATGATCAAAGTCATTATTATAATCCACCTCATTTTCATCCATGTGTTGCATTATGACATTCCATTTGCATCTCTCATTTTTCCACTTTTTCCCACATTTTGCCATCCATTAAAAAAACAAATCTCACCACACACTCATTTCATGACAAATTTGCAGCGTGACAAACCCAAAGAATCTAAGGTACAATCTTCCTTCCATTATTTTTCCTATTCTTTATACTACTCCAGTGATTGGATGTGCGTAACTATATCTACCATATAACCAGCTCTGTATTTATTCTAATTTTAGATAAAATTACTAACCATCCCCTTGTCGAGTCAAGTATTCTGCTTCTTCTCTCCTTTTCTCTCATTCTCTCTCCCTTTCTTTCTCTCTCTCTTCTATCTTTCACCTCCTCTATTTTTATCTTTCTCTTTCTGTGTGTCTCTCCTCATCTACCTCTCTTCTCTTTTTCTTCCTCTATCCCTGCCAATGGCTCTCTCCTTTTCTTACTACCCCGCTATCTCTCCCTCTGCTCTTTCTCTTTATATATATCTTTCTTTCTTTCGCTCTCTCTATATTTCTCCCTCCCCCTCTCTTCCTCTTTCTGTCTCTCTCTCTCTTTCTTCCACTCTTTTCTCCTCTCTCTCTCTCTCTCTCTCTCTCTCTCTCTCTCCCTTCCGCTCTTTTCTTCTCTCTCTTAACCCATTTTGATCTGGAAACTTATAGAAAGATGGACTAACCCTTCTTATATTGCCTGCGATGTCTATCCCATTGGGTGCTCTATTTATTGTTTAGCAGCCTTTTGTTAACTTCATTTTTCTATTTATTTCACTCGAGCATGTTCTTATGAATGCATCGATCATGGTAGCAGCTGCATGCTTCGGTTTGTGCATTCTGGTCCATATCATACAGTCTATTCCTGCATGAATGATATCATAAAATCAAGTCCATTTCATAATTACCCTGAATTTCTTTTCAGTTTTATGTCTGTGTTTGTCATGTATTGTTTTTTAATCTGATGTCATCAAATATCAGAAAACTCTCTCACGAGCAGAAACTTAAAAATAAAATGCTAAGTAGATAACATTAATTAGAATCCTATTTCATAAAGAATAGGTTTGGTTTTTTTCTTTATCTTTCATTTACTTTATATTTGACAAAGTACATTACATAATTTGCTTATAAAATAGCTTACCTTTAAACTTAACCTTTCTTCTATGATTAGACCCTGCTATAGAATGAATTTAGCTCAGTGTTTTATAGTAAAAGATACAAACAAAAATTCAAATAAAAAATGATTTGTAAACAAGCCTGCATGAATAGTACCCCTACTTGCTTTAGACTGCCTACTGCTTCTATACTCCACTGCAAATCCTTGCAAATTGTTGTTTTTAACTTTTGATATGTATGTTACTCTGTGAGGTCGTATATTATGTGCAAGTGTAAATCCTATTGAAATGGAACCCCATACCCCAAAAAAATATGTTGGGGTAAAAAAATAAAAAATAAATTCTTTGTTTTGCATACACTATTATTGCTCCAGCTTTAATTTAAACATAATTGTTATGTAATGGCAACAAAATGGAAGAAAGCTATGATATTGAGAAGTAGAGAGAAGACCTTAGATAAGTGGACATATTTACAATAATCATAAACACATCTTCTTTTTTGGTGGGGGGGGGGTTATGATAAAAACATTTGCAAGCTTGCTGTTTGAATGTCAGGCCTTTTGAATTTACATATTGCTCAAATATTTTAACTTAATGATGTTATGAAAAGAAATACAACTGACTATTTAGTAAAAAAAGAAGGGAGATGGAGTGTTCAAATTCATAGAAATGCTCACAATTCATTGTTAAATGGAAGAAACTGTGACAAATTTTGGTATGCTGAGTCATGAAATATCCATAGCTTTTCTATAATATGCATTCTAAAGTGCAATTAGTGAAAAAGATGTGTATAACAATTTTGTTTTCCTTCTTTCTGAGCTCCTTTTGAATGACATTTTTTAAATAGATTTTGCTTCCATAATTTCTTGCTTTTTACATAACAACTGTTGGGCAGTTTTGTTTTTGTTTGAATTCATTACAAAAATACAAAGATTCAAACAATACGCATGTTCTTATTGCTAATTTATTCTTATTACATTCTAAACTTGGTATCAATTTTTTTGATGGCCTCATTTAAAAGATATATATATATATATATATATATTTTTAATATATGGATTATACTTTGGTGCATCCTTATATTCATAGAAAGTTTGTTATTCTTTGTAAGATGTGTGGTTTCTTGTAATAGTTAGAAATAACTACGCACTTATAAAAGTATTTCTTCTTCTTCTTCAAAGGCCTAATTGATCTAGCCTTATATGAATCATATATATATTCAAGATAAAAATTTCAATATACCAGTAGTTCTTTAAAATTCATGCATTTGCACTTTGAGAATGAATTGTTCGTATTATAATTTCATTGCCCCAAAAGTGTGTTTTTATGAATTTGTTCTGGAAAAGACATTTTTGCTCCTTACAAAGTATCGTTTGAAATAAATATAATATCTATATCCATATCATTTGCATATTGCTCATCATACATTAAATATTCTTTATATTTGCTAGAAATATAATTATAAGTTACTGCATTCTATACTTGATTTGAAATAAATTATCACTAACACAGCTAAAAGAATGCAACCATATTGAAAATATGTTTAACTATTTATATCCGTGTTGCGCTATAACTATTAAAAATAATGCTGAAAGTTTTTGTTTTTGTGTTCTAGCTGCATTTGTCAAACTTGGCTTGACCCTCTTATTATTGAGTTTATTCCATTTATTCAAGTAAATCTTTCTTATTTCTATGCTATTCTACCTAACCATGAGCTCAGCATTATATTGAATGATGCTTAGTTCATAGCATTTCATGTTTTTATGTCTTTGAATATGTGCATTAATAATGGGTCATTGTTCAAAGTATAACTTGAAGTATCAAAAGAAAATGTGTGATGAACGTACAAATCTGGTATATATATGAGCATGTCAGTTGCTATCCGATAATCTTAAATATTTCAAACCATTTAAAAAAAGGGAATACTTTATGGCGATTTTATTGGGTATGGTAAACATATTAGACACAATATCTTTTGTGCATCTATTCTGCTAAATTCAATAGCTCTTTACCCATTTCAATCGAAATTGAATGGAAAATACCTAAGATTATTGGGGGCAAATAGGATTAAACCTTGAGATAAATGTTGGACCTACTGTACTATATTCCCTCAATTGAATGAATTTTCATTCCTTTGTATCAGAAGGGGATAGATACTGTTTCATGATTTTGCTCAATGATTTATTTTGAAAAGTTTTGCATCAAAGTCAAACTTTTACACAACTTCCAATTCTGGTTGCAGATATTTGTTGTGTAATGGGATTAATGAATAATGAAATATATTTTAAAACATTATTCATGATTAGCTGTTTAATGCAAATAAGAGTTACTGTGAAGCGATGGAGATGTTTTGATTCTTAATTAATTTGTCATTAAGAAAATTTGATAGGTATGCATCATTTCTAGGGGGGGGGGGGGGGAATTGTGTCAAAAAGTTTCTCCAATCTGTTTTCCAATTCTAACTTAAGGGTGTTTTGGAGTGGTTTTATAGAAGGATAGAATTTGTAGATAGCTATTAAAATAGTTTTGAATACAAATCACTTCAAAATCTAAGGTTGAAACATTACAAGTATTATTTTGTCTTTGACTGCATGAGGTATAGCGCTCTCTGTCTATTACACATGTACAGGCATTTGCATGGTTCAGCGACCTGTTGGTAGAACATGCTGAGATCTTCTGGTCATTGTTTGGTGTGGACATGGATGCTTCCCTCGATGTTCAGCCGCCAGACACGTGGGACAGCTTTCCTCTCTTCCAGCTCCTCAACGATTTCCTGCGATCTGAAAGTGAGTTTTATTTTCATCTTATGTCTCCTCCTTTTAAATCATTCTCGATCATTTGTAACACTTGTGTTATTAAAGCAGTATAATGCTGATAATTGATAAATCACTAGCCAAGTATTGTACCTTGTTTTATTAGGCAATGAATGTACTTTTTTCATACAAAATTTACAGTATTGCCTAGGGAAAGGTTATACATAAAATAGCTAATTAGAAGACAAAAACTGATCATAAATCTTTCATTTCTCTGTGGGTTCTTGAAATATTTGTGATCTGGGTAGATTTCCAATACTTTTCAAGAATTTTCAATATTTATACCTATTACATCAAATATTTCAGTGAATACTTTTCATTGTCAATGGGATGATATGAAAAAGATTTTTTTTAATATAGATAAGTAACCAGAGAACCCTCAATTTCTGTATTAAACCTTAATATTTGTGTCTTTTGTTTCATTTGATCAATAGCTACCCTGAATGGAGGGAGGTTCCATCTGAAACTTCAAGACACGTTTGCTCCTCAGGTGATTCGCTACGTAGACTTGATGGAGTCATCCATAGCTCAGTCTATCCATAGAGGCTTTGAGAAGGAGAAATGGGAACCAAAAGGGTCAGTATATACCTAGACATATTGCTGGATCTAGGGGGCATTTCACAAAACTTGTCATCAGTGACAAATGACAGTTTTTGTTATAAGCTACTGAAATCCTTGCTTCTGATTGGTTATCAACAGATTTGTCACTGATTTTTGTCATTGAAAAACAGCTTTGTGAAATGGGTCCCTGATGATAAACTTCTGGTAGGAACTAAAATGTGGTTCTTAAAAGTTTTTTTCTGAAAGATCATCTTCAGATCCGATGGATTCTCCCATAGCTCAGTTCCATACATAGATGCTTGGAGAAGGAGAAAGGGGAAACCAAAGTGTCAGTACCTATTCATACTTCTAGACATGCATGTTATGCAATATATATGCATATTAGATGGCCCGACTTTCACAATATTTTCCCCCTGAGTTTTTGAGAATTATCCCTCCCCCTCATTAAGTTGAAAACAAGGAAATACATGTTTGGATTGTATAATAATGCTGATTTTACCATTTCAAGGAATTTCCGTAGCAAAATACCCTAAGTATGGCATTTATAGGAGAATTTCAGAACAAACTTGAAAATACATATTCTTTCATCCCTAATTGCATAATTTGTACTTTAAAAAGTCTGTAATCTTTCATTTTGCAGATATCATAGCCCAAAGACCCCTTCTTTCTAGTACATATCGCTGTCAGCGAGCATGAAAAAACAACAACTTTCGAACAGTTGTGTGTTTAATGAACAAAGGGGCTGTGAATTATTATGTCAGGTTGGCCAGACAAAATTGCTGTGGGTCACTGAGTATTTCACATACATACATAAGGCTCATGTAGAGGCACTTGAGTTTAAAATATGAAGAGGGCTCATTTTTTCTCTTCTTTATCCAGGAATGGTACAGAGACATCCGAGGATCTATTCTGGAAGTTGGATGCCTTACAGACCTTCGTCAGGGACCTTCACTGGCCCCAGCAGGAGTTTGCTCTCCACCTTGACCACAGACTCAAACTAATGGCAGCTGACATGATTGAGTCATGCGTTGGCAGGTCAGCACCTACCTACTATAAGACCATATCCTTGCCTCCTGTTTCTTTTCTCTAGCAGGGTTTAATAAAGTCTAGACTTCATTGAGCCGTCACCTTCCAATCTTTTCTCATACATGTCTGTGCAACCACAGACTTAAACGAGTGAATACTAACATGATCGAGTCATTCGTTGGCAGGTCAATTGATAAAACAAGATCACCTGTTGCTTCTTGTAGCAGAGTCTAGCAGTGTGTAGATTGGCTAGAACAGTATAGTCAAATCCTCGATCATATACTTTTATGTCTATTTTGATGCTGTTAAAAGGAACAAATAAAGAACAAATTTGGTTGTAAACATTTCCTAAAGTTCAACAATTTCTAAAGAGTAACAATTATATTTGTAGTTGTTGGTAATATATAGATACAGCCTAGTCCACGAGATGTTTCCCAGATTGATTCAATGAGAAATTCAAGTGCAATTTGGCACTGCAGAAAGCTTAATCATTTAAACTTTACTGGGAACAGTAGACATATTAATTTTCCAGGACATCAAACTTCTAGATACCTAAAAGCGAAGTGAGAAAATTAGCAGAAAGTAGTCAAATGCCTGGTTTCTGCCGATTTAAACAAAGAAATGGAAAACAGATCCTGAATGGTGGCAGACTTATGTATAGACTGTATAAAGTGAAAATATGTGCAATGTACTGGAATTCAATCTTTTGTATTGATGTGACAGAACTATGCAAGGATTTGAAGTGTGGATCAAGAAGGGGAGACCAAACAGTGATTATCGACTGAATATAGAGCTTTGTGTGATGATGAATGTCCTGACTGATGCCAAGGATAAATCCATGAAGCTCTGTCCTCCAACCAAGGATGAGGAGGCAGTGAGTACTGGATTTTGTTTATCATTCAGTTTCATCGTCATTTTAAGTTTCGTCACGATTTTCAGTTTCATCGTCATTTTTAGTTTCATTGTCATCTCAGTTTCATAACCATTTTCAGACTCGTCATCAGATTCACTGATCATATTTTCTCTTCCATAGTATCATGTCTGCATCATTGGTAATATTCAGGATCATCAGAGTTATAAATTTTAACGTCTTCCGCAATTGTAAATTGTCATGCAATTCAGCCGAGGCTGCGAAATGATGATATTAATAACCTGAACTGAACTGTAGATTCATTGCTATCACCACCATCAGTTTTAGAATCATCATCATCATCATCATTTTCATTTTTATTTTTATTGAATCATACACTATTGGCTTATCTGGATCTTTATCATCACCATCTTCATTATCAGCATAATCATTGTACCCACAATGAATTTTCTATTTATCACAATCATTATTTTAATCATTATATCTATCATCACCATCTTCATTATCAGCATAATCATCGTACCCACAATGAATTTTCTATTTATCACAATCATTATTTTAATCATTATATCTATCATCACCATCTTCATTATCAGCATAATCATTGTACCCACAATAACATTTCTATTTATCACAATCATTATTTTCATCATTATATGTATCATCACCATCTTCATTATCAGCATAATCATTGTACCCACAGTAACATTTCTATTCATCACAATCATTATTTTCATCATTATATCTATCATCACCATCTTCATTATCAGCATAATCATTGTACCCACAATAACATTTCTATTTATCACAATCATTATTTTCATCATTATATCTATCATCACCATCTTCATTATCAGCACATAATCATTGTACCCACAATAACATTTCTATTTTATCACAATCATTATTTTCATCATTATATCTATCATCACCATCTTCATTATCAGCACATAATCATTGTACCCACAATAACATTTCTATTTATCACAATCATTATTTTCATCATTATATCTATCATCACCATCTTCATTATCATCATAATCATTGTACCCACAATAACATTTCTATTTTATCACAATCATTATTTTCATCATTATATCTATCATCACCATCTTCATTATCAGCACATAATCATTGTACCCACAATAACATTTCTATTTATCACAATCATTATTTTCATCATTATATCTATCATTACCATCTTCATTATCATCATAATCATTGTACCCACAATAACATTTCTATTTATCACAATCATTATTTTCATCATTATATCTATCATTACCATCTTCATTATCAGCACATAATCATTGTACCCACAATGAATTTTCTATTTATCACAATCATTATTTTCATCATTATATCTATCATCACAATCCCCATAATTTTTTAAGCATCATTATCTTTACCACACATTGTATATTCAAGAAGTGTTGTTTTACAAGCATTTCTATGCTATGTCATAATATTTTCTTTTTCATCTTTTTTTCTAAAACCAAATTAGTACTCCAAAAGAAAAAAGCTGGAAATTCTTTTTCACTCACTTACTTTGCATTTATTATTCAACCCATCCAAAAAGGCCCCCTTGCCACTTACTTTATACACTATACAATTCTTGTTTTCAGATTAAGGTGTATATCATATTCATCTCTATCAGGGTAATCAGATAAATATATTAAGATATTATGTAAAGAATAAGAGATGATATGAAGTAGTTAGGTAAGGACGGAGGATGGAATTTCTTACCAGATTGTGGTGTTGTCTTGACTTCAATACCCAATTTGCCATAGCATCAGTACCACACCAGAATTGATGAGGAAATCAACAGGACTTCATACCAGGTCATTCAACTCTCTGTACTAAAGCTACGTGGAGCCCTAGAAAGCGTCCTAACCAAGCTGGCACGTTACGATGAGGGAACATTCTTTGCTTCTATTCTCTCATTCACGGTATGTACAGTACATTTATGTAATGGTGTTGTTTTCTTTTCAATTAAGCTTGACCTGGTTGCTTTGTATGTACAAGGCATACACTAGCAAAAATTGCTCCTTGGTTGATGATGTATACTTCCCACTTTCCTAACTCCCTAACACGATGCCTAACCTTTACCCTCACCCTCCACCTCACCCTCACCCTTGCCCTCACCCTTACCCAAACCCTTATCCTAGCTTGCCCTCGCCCTCGCCCGTGCCCTAACCCTATCCTTCCCCCAAAGCCTATCCCTCACCCTCGCGTTTACCCTCAACCGGCTCGCCCTATCCCTAACACTCACCCTTCTCTACACCCTCACCCTAACCTATACCCTCACTCTCGGCCTAACCTGAACCCTCACCCACACCCATACCCTCATCTTAACCCATACCTGCACCCTACCTCTTCCCCTAACCCTCACCTTCACTCTCACCCTCACTCACACCCTCACTTTAACCCATACCTACACCCTACCTCTTCCCCTACCCGTAACCCTTACCTTCATCCTTCACCTAGTGCTGTAAGTCAGGTGCCATGTTCGGGTTCGGTATGGATCGGCAGAGTTCGGCAAAGTTTTACACAAACTTGGTTCGGTTCGGGGTTCGGTAATATAATAGCAAGTTATAGCTACGGTGGTCCGCACTGGGCGGCCCGACCAGCACGGAGTACTTTTGCCCACCACTCCTGATGAAAAAAACTGCTTCCGACCGGCACAAATTTCACAAAAAACTGCTTTAAACGTAACTATTTGTGAAGAAAAGTAGTACTTACATTCATTATTCTGTCTTTGATCCTGTTTTATTTGCAATTTTACAAAAATCATTATTTCAATTTGTCAATAAATGATATTTTTAAAGATTTGCCAAGACGGTTGTTGTCTAATGTTACGATTCATGTTCGGCGGTCCGGCTACAGCACTACCTTCACCCTCACCCCCACCCACACCATCACTTTTACCCATACCTACACCCTACCTCTTCCCCTCACCTTCACCCTCACCCTCACCCTCACCCACACCCACACCCTCACCCATACCCTCACTTTAACCCATACCTACACCCTACCTCTTTCCCTAACCCTCACCCTCTCTCACATCCTCACTTTAACCCATACCTACACCCTACCTCTTCCCCTAACCCTCACCTTCACCCTCACCCTCACCCACACCCTCACCCTCACCCACACCCACACCCTCACCCATACCCTCACTTTAACCCATACCTACACCCTACCTCTTCCCCTAACCCTCACCCACACCCACATCCTCACTTTAACCCATACCTGCACCCTACCTCTTCCCCTAACCCTCACCTTCACCCTCACCCTCACCCACACCCTCACCTTAACCCATACCTACACCCTACCTCTTCCCCTAACCCTCACCTTCACCCTCACCCTCACCCACACCCTCACTTTAACCCATACCTGCACCCTACCTCTTCCCCTAACCCTCACCTTCACCCTCACCCACACCCACATCCTCACTTTAACCCATACCTGCACCCTACCTCTTCCCCTAACCCTCACCTTCACCCTCACCCTCACCCACACCCTCACCTTAACCCATACCTACACACTACCTCTTCCCCTTACTCTCACCTTCACCCTCACCATCACCTTTGCCACTCCCATACTCGCACCCTCGTCCTAACCCTAACCATATCATGTAACACAATCACAACCTCAAATCTGTATCTCTGACGAAATAAAGCCTGATGCAATTTTCTCTGGAGTAAATGTAAGGTCAGTGTCTCTCCCCCTTCTAGATTGTAAATCAGATTCAGTAGTTGTGATATTACCAGAAGCATGCCTGTAATGGCAGAGTATATGACATCTTATAAAATTTCAGCTTAAGTTTTTCTTTCATTTTCAGATTCTTTAATGAGCTTAGATTTAGACAAATGTCAAGGTAGTTATTCAAAGTATTTCCGACTTCTCGTTTATGTTAGATAATGAAGGATCTTTTGTCCTTTCATCATGTATGCTATTTCAGCCTCACAGTATGTTTTTTTCTTTCTGTTTTGTTCCAAGCATGCCTCTTATATAAAGACAATTAAAGACAAGCTACACATATTTCCATTTAAATACATTTATACAGCACATATGAAGAACAACAAATGAAAATAGACAGTGAATATGCATGCAAAAGGGATGATGTATGATAATTGAATATCATAGATTTAGAATTCAAATCAGTAACTGCACCCATGGTTTAAGGCCTGGTCGATGTATCTTACCCATAAGAATAACTCTTTATAATAAAGCCTTACCTACGCTATATTTGATTGGTCTCACCACAATAGTTTTAGCTATGGAGTTTGGGCTTCTGTCGATCAGACGAAAGAAAAAGGAGGTGTTTAGCATACACCATGTTTAAACCATATCATTGGCCCATATGTAACTGTATCTTGAAAACTGTCGTAAGTCTAAGTTCGGAAACATCCCTTAGTTCTTCATGTTTCAATTGAATTTATGAAAGGTTTCTAGAAAAGAGATTCCACCTGTACTTTAAAAAGTTGTTTGAGCTTCATTATAATTATAAGCGTATTTCGACCTGTAACATAGATATAACCCATGCCAATTCTGCATAAATTGCAAGGGACTGATAAATGCACAATTAACTGATTACAGGTATATCATTATTGGAGTAGTAAATCGAACTAAGCCTTAAGTACTTTGCATTTAAACAAAAATTCTGTCTAGACACTCCTGTAAACAAAGCAATTTCAGTGAGTTTTAAGCATTACCCAGTATGGGATGTTCTCTTCCATTTATTTTCAGATATTTAGATGATAGTTGTGAACATAGTAGATTTATTTTGTTTATATGATTTTGTTAAATTCTTCTTTGTTTCCTTTATGCGAATCAGACAAAGAAAATCCGCACAGACTTGGTATGTAATTTGGTAGAGATGCCCTCCTAAATGCTTGTGGATTATTTGTTGAGAAAATATTTTTTTTAAGAACCACCCTTATCTTGTTTCTAAGTTCAGTAAAAATCTTTGGTTGTTCTTTTCTGTAGTTTCTCTAGCTCATCTTGAAGTGGATGTTCATGTGTACATCTTTGCTATTAAAGTCTGATAATATTCTTTTCCTATTGTATTGAAAAATAACCACCCTGTGCCAACTGTTCCCCATTATTAGATTAAGACCTCCCCTCTCCCTTGTTGGTTTGGAATGTCTTCTACCCTAACAATTTGTGGAAAAAATGTTTGGATTTAGTACCTGGTGCCATTTCTTCCTCACCCTTCCTTTTCTTTCTTTCTTTCTCTTTCTTTTCCTCTCTCCTTTCTTTGCTCGCTCCCCCTTATTTATCTCTGTCTGTTTGTCTCTCTCTCTCTCTCTCTCTCTCTCTCTTATATGACTATCTCTGCTCCCTAAAATTGTAATATATCCTTGATTGAGACAGCTTGAGTAGCCTTAGGACTTCCCTTAGTCATGTGTATGCTTTTTCTCCAGGAAAGCCTTTGTCTTGAATCTTTACTCAAAACCATCTCTTCTCTTACCTTGCCATTTTTCAAAGAAATTAACTTTAAACAAAAAAAATGCATCAAAAGGAGAATCTGTGTTCTATCTTGCAACTGATAATTATTGTCTGTGAAGTTGTCAAGACTAGCAAAAATGAATTTCTAAAGCCATTTTCAAGAAATTCAATTTACATATTAAGGGGGAAAAATTGTTGAGGAGATGGGCATGTACCAGTGCTTGCTTGAGTAATTTTCTTCTGAACTTCAATATTAATTTAGGATGACATGTTGCAAGTGTCCTATGTGTGTAGTGTCTTTGCTCCCTTTTAACTTGAGAGATAACATATAATACTCCTAAGTACTCTGTGATAACAACTGATGTAGGTGTGCAAGACCAAAGGGTTGTTTTCTTGTAATGCCTTATAATGAAACTAACATTAACCAATAGAGGATTGTACCTGAAAATGTTGTTTTATCATGAGACTTTCATACATTGGTGTGTCGGTTCAGTCTCTCCCACAGTTCTCTTGGCCGAGCTCTAATAAGCGCCCTAGACGTCGTGTAAGTTCTCCAGGACTCTGTGTGATCATAAAGTCCAATCATGGCTATTCTAGTCTCTACCAAAGACTTTGGCATGGAGATCTTTCTTATATATACGTAACTTATTACTGCATGGTGAACTAACAAAAACACTATATCGGCACATATTTCACTAACAGATATAGATGTGAATATATTTACTTCTTCAAAACAATACTTATATACATTAAAGTAAGAAAAATTGCTGTGAAAATGGTTGAAGCATATTTTGCCTATGTTGATGATATACATATTAACAAAGTAAACTGGAGTCCAGTACATGTATTATATACTGAAGAAAAGCAATTGCTTTTGATGTATGATCAAAGGTTAATATGACTGAATCTATTTGGAGCCAATGGTTGTGAAAATAAATTGGAATGAAATATGCATGGTTTAATCTTGTTCCACTTGTATTGAAAGATACCTGTGTGAGACGTTTTAATTCTGGTCATGATTTCTGGTAAAATCAAGTGTAAATCTGTAAGGGATGCCAACTCAAGATTATTGCTAAGATCTGACCTGGCTGGCAGCTCCAGCAGAGCAATTTACATGTACACCTCCCTAAGATAGTGAATAACTCAAAATGAACTTGTGATATAGCATGATATCAATTTGATGACTAGGCTTTGTATTATGAAGAGTGGAGATCAGTCTAGATCACCTGCAGCTTTATATAAGATAGGGTTCAGAAATCGAATATAGCATCATGTTTTCACATCATCTAATAGCTTGAGAACAGTATATCAAAAGATGATTATTTGTTTAAGGGATATATATCCTTTGAGTTATATATGTTTATCTCTTCTAATATTGCAAATATATACTATAATAATCTATCAATTATTTCTTCTTACAAAAATATATTGAATATATGATATCATGTATAATGTATATTTGTTTGAATTGATGACTAATTATGTGGATTTATTTTATGTTATAATTATTGTTCATGACAATGAACTTCTCATATTATCTCTAACCTTTTTCCAAATGTAATCTCTTCAACTAACAAATATTTTGGTCATATATCCCTTTGTTCACTATTCTGTCAAACTGTCCTTAATCCATAATAGAAAGGCTTTTGCTTTTTATTACCAATACCCAGGCTTCAATTTTTGTCTCGCCTGCGTAGCAAAAAGCGAGACATAGGCGCCGCTTTTCCGGTGACGGCGGCGGTGGCGGCGTCAACATCAAAAACTTAACCTAAGGTTAAGTTTTTGAAATTTTGATATAATTTTAAAAGTATAAGTTTTTAGTCAATGAAACTTTGACTATAGGGTAATCAAGTATCCCCAATCATGTGAGTAGAATTTCAGATCACAAAGTCAAGGTCAAAGGTCATTTCAGGTCAACAGACTTGGACTATGTTGTAGCATCATCATCGAAAACTTAACCTAAGGTTAAGTTTTTGAATTTTTGATATAATTTTGAAAGTATAAGTTCTTAGTCAATGAAACTTGGACTATAAGGATTATCAAGTCGCCCCAATTATGTGAGTAGAATTTCAGGTCACTAAGTTAAGGTCAAAGGTCATTTAAGGTCAACAAATTTAGACTTTGTTGTGGCATCAACATCAAGATTTTCAAAATGCTTCTTCTTCGTTATTTTTCAACTGATTTTGATTCTGATTGTTTCATATGATAGAGCTAGGAAAGGGATTTATAATTTCTACACAGAATCGTGAATTTCATTATCTATGCTAATTTATGCAAATTTATTCGAAATCACAAAAAGTCTTCTTCTCCTTCATTTCTCGACCAATTTTGATTTGGTTTGCTTTATATTGTACAGCTAACTTTGGTACACTAAACTTCTACACAGAATTTTGAAATTGTTCTCCATTAATTTATTATGGTAATTTATGCAAATTTATTCAAAAAATAACTAAAATTGCTTCTTTTCCCTCATTTCTTGACCGATTTTGATTTGGTTTGCCTTATCTGGTAGAGCTAAATTTGGCACACTAAACTTCTACACAGATTTGTGAGATTTTGCTCCATTGATTATTTATGGTACTTTATGCAAATAAAATGGAATTACTTCCCTTCCAGGGCATCAAATTTTTAATTTTTTTGACCAGTTCAAAAGTGTACTACATAAAATTTACGATATTTGTTGTTGCAAGATGCGGATGAGCGCTACGTCATTGACGTTCTGGTTTATCATATTGAATTGTGTTATGCAGGCGAGACCGCCGAGAGCGTTTCCCTTGTTTGTCATTCAAGGTAGAACAGATGAATTTCTTTGCAGTGTCACTATGAAGTATGAACATGATGGACAAAGAAAGAGGACAAAATATACAGTTCCTCATTCTACCCTCAACAATTGCTGCGGTAGACAAAGGAACATCCCTTCACTGCTATTATGTAAAAATGTGTAGAACAGGTGTCACATGCATATTCACCGATTCTACACATTTTTACAAAATAGCAGTGAAGGGATGTTCCTTTATCTAGCACAGCAATTGTTGAAGGTAGAATGAGGAACTGTATATTTTGTCCTCTTTCTTTGTCCGTCATGTTCATAGTGTGTGTGAATATTGATTAATATAAATCTATCCAAACATATAATCTATTGAGAACTAGAAGGCTATATACTCTGTGTTTAATATATGATTAATGCCCCTCTGGCTCTGAGCAAGTTTTATCACAAGTGTAAGTCTTTCTTTATTTTCAAACATCTAGTATAGAAAAACTATCACTTAACGTAGTCATATCTAAAACTATGAATCAGATTTCATTCAAGTTTCAACAATGGATACTTGACAAAAAGCTTCTGTTTGCCATCTTAAAAAAATGAAATGATCAATTTAATTACAAAATTTCCATGGTAAACTTCCAATCCAACAGTGTCTCGACAGGTTTTAAAGCAAAATTTGGCAAGTCAAAATGAAAGATGATCCAAGTCTTGAATATATATTTGTGTTTACACACATTTTACATTCAAAACACTTCAAAATATTAGATTAAATTCTGAAATGTATCACTATGGTGTGTCTGTTCATTCCAGATTTGTGTGAATACCCTGAATTCAACCTTGTTGTGATGTATACCGACTTAGTGTAACAATAATAAATAATAATATTTAATTTTTATATAGCGCTTAATACAAATGTCTCTAAGTGCTTTACAAATAAACTATTACCCCGGTCATTTGATTCAGTGTATGTACCACATTGATTTCTCTGTACTTGGAGAGCTGTCATCAGAGAGCTGTCATCGTGGCTGTATATGTGTTGCCATAAATACTGCAGTGAGAAGATGTAATATATAAAAGCAGTGACTCATCTCGGGGCTTTTACATAGAGGCACGTACGTACCCACCCCCAGAATGTTCAACAAAATTTGGTATACCTCGAGTACACAAAAGGAGAAATGTAAATAAAATTGTGTTTGTGTGCACCCTCTCCCCTGGCAAGAAACTTTTGCATTACAAAGATTTTTTAGTCTTTTAGGCTTTACACCCTTCCCCTTCCCCTCCCCCTCCCTCCCCCACCCCTGCAAGGGAATGCTTAGAGAGTCCAGGACCTACTGCTGTACAGGAAGAGTTGTGTAGTATTCCTAACCATTCGCTTGCTAAAGCCATGATCTTCATCTTATTCTTTCTTGTATCTCCATGGTAACAGAATCCCGGCATGGAGTTGGCTGATGATTATGTTGAGTTCATCCGTGATAATCTGGACGAGATCAGAGAGAAGGTTCATGATGATGAGTTCCTCCAGAACCTGTTTGAGGTATGTACATACTTGTCCTAGTATCCCGTCTCTGGTAGTTCATCTTTCAATTATTTCTAGCCATTCTCATTCATGTCTCCCCTTCTTTTACTTGCCTCCCTTCCTTACCTCACCATCCAGGCTCCCTGAAAACCTAGCTTTCTTTTCACTTTCTTCTCCTCCTTCCTGTGTTTTCATGTTTGTGTGTGTCTCTCTCCATCTCTCTCTCTTTCTCTTCTTCTTCTGCTTCTTTTTCTTCTTTTTCTTCTTCTTCTCTTCTCTCTCTCTCTCTCTCTCTCTCCTCTCTCTGTTTCTCATGTGTTCCGTTCCTCTTGTCATTATTTCTCTTTTAAATTGAAGAAATGGTAATGATACTGATTCAATACATGTACTTCACCTTTCATATATTTCATTGATTGATTTTTCTCATGTTCGTTGCAGGAATGGTACACTTCCAATATGAATCTACTGTGTGACTGGATGTCAGATCGGATGGAGCTACAGCTTCACATATATCAACTCAATACACTGCTCAGAATTACTGGGGTAAGCTAGTACAACTCATTTTCAGAAACATATGAGGTGATGGGGGAGGAGATGCAGGGGCTACGGCCGGGTCAGGGTCAGGACTAGGGTGAGAATCCGGTGTAGTTGAGGTCTTGGGCTAGGACTAGGGCAAGGTTAGGATTAGGTTTAGGGATAGGGTTAAGATTTTGCTTGTGTGGTAGGATATACTGTAGTCATTTCCCAAATAGCGTGATATCATGATCTTTATAAGATTTTTGTAATAATTAACATATTTTTTTATTTTGTGTGTGCAAAATATTTGAGTTCGTAAGTGTCTACTGCAAGGTTATAAACACATAGACCTGAGTGGAATACGCTATCTTGGGTTAGCCTTTAGTTTGCCATACAAAATGGCATGCTGTTGTCACATTTATGGCCATCAAAGATGTTTGTCATCATAGATGTATATATGTTTGTCATTCATGTTATGCAGAAGATTCACAAGAATTCGGAGCTCTACATTGTCTGCTTCAAGGTCTTGAAGAGCAAGACCCTTTGTAGGAAACATTATCTTGGCATAATATTTGCTACACAAAGTGGCATGATTTAATCACATTTATGGCCTTAAAAAGATGCTTGTAAACATTCATATCTTCATATTTGTCATTTGTGTTGAGCAGAAGATGTACAAGGACTTTGAGCTCCATGGTGTCCCCCCAAAGGTCCTGATCAGCAAGACCTACGACAACGTGAAGCATAGGCTGCAGGTGGAAGAAGCAACGGCATCGGTCACCAACCAGATGGTGATTCACAACGGATCCATGAGCCAAGATGATGAGGATGACGATGACAACTAAACAAAAGCTGATCCTTAGAGTGATGATTACCACAGATAGAATTCTCCCCTTGTTCCCCTTCCCCTATAGTTCTGTTTGACAAGGGATCAGACCACATTTTAGTTTCCGCAGACACAAGAAATGATCCTACAGGTGATAATGATGATGATGACTCCTGATGGTGAATCATGTGTAGAACTTTCCCTGTGTTCCCCAATGCTGTTAGACAACAACAGAAGAGACCTCAATTAGCTGCCAATGAAGAGGAGAGTCCTGAGAATGAACCAGATAGATAGTCCTTTCAGTCAGTAAAAGAGACTTTTAATTTGTGTAGAGATTACCATAATGTAGGCTTACTCTCTTTCTTATTAAGCAGATGGATTAGGGAATCTTCATGCTGCCAATGGCATTAACAGAGTAGCAAAGAAGACTGGTGTTCTGGGTTTTTTTCCCTTGTCCATATCCTGAAAGAGATACAACGCTTCTCATTCTTGTTTATGATACAGCTACATGTAGCTCTTACGTTGATGTTAGAATGATTTCAGAACTAGGAGTAGGGGATAGGTTACAATATTTAAATAGGAGGACAATTGCCTTGTGTTTCATGGTAGACTTACATTATTTTGGTATGTTTGCAATGACCTTCCAAATTACAAAACTTCTGTTCATAAAGAAGATTACCGAAGGGTCTTTTAGACAGATCTTCAAAGTTCAATTAAAAATGAAGAGGGTTCTTCATTGACTCTGTTTGAAGAAGTGCAATTGGCCTTATAATAATAATAATAATTATAATGATTGGAGTTACTGTAACTTTGCAGACTTCAAATTGTTGCAAGCTAGGTCCAGAGAAAGAAAGACACAAGGTAATGAATAATGAAGGAAAAAAAGACCGCATAAACTTTGGAAGAAAATTATGTTCAAAGTAACAAATTTTATTCCTTAGTTGGCCAAATACCCAAAATCCTATTCCACAACTCTTTGGATTTTGAAGAAAATTTGAAGATAATCTATACTTTCATACCTTTTATACCTCTCTCTCAATTATGTTTGCATGGCTACTGTATGATACCCACAGTGGAATGTGAATCAAAATAATTGGTAGTGATTCAAAAGTTATGCAGGAAAAAAATATCTAGTAAAACATGAAAGTGTGGTATCTACGTATTATAAGTAATGTCAACCAACCCAAGTGCAAGTCTGTTCCATTTTCCCTTTGAACATTCCCCGGGGAGTCGCACCAAGAGTGTTCTCCATATCAGATGAGGATCACAGAGGATTTAGTTGCCACAATCATTCTAGTCATCCTATACTACATTCCAATCTTATGTAAATAAATCTTCCTAAATTATTACCATTTTCATCATGGGCATGTATAATAGAATGGTCTACATGGTATGATATCATGATCATGTACCCAGTCAAAATAGTATTTTTCAATTTATATATATGATAGTAAAATATTTAGCAGGAAATAGTTTGGGATTTATTAATATTGAATGAGTGGGGATAGTATCCAGCCATATATCTTGAGTAGAGTATAAGAACTGTATGATTTTTGGTTAATTTTTATGTTTGTCATACCTAGGAACATATAACAGGAAGATGGCGTTTTTTGTTTGGGTTTTAGCAGTTTTTATGCTATGAGGTCAAGTTTTTTATGAAGTAGCATTTATGTTTCCTCACATAGCATCGTGTGATTTTTCAACCATTGTGTAAAGGACATTACCTCCTACAATGCTGATGAAAGTGTAAAGAGCATTCCTATTAACCAAGTGTCTTATAGGTATGTTGGATTGTTGTTTCATCCTTGGCTTGTTCTAAATGTTCCCAGTAATAGATTTCACATCAAATATTATCAGGCCTAGGTGGTTCCTTGTTTTCTATGTTTATATATACATCCCATCTTCTGAAATGCAATTGAATCAAGTTAAAAGGCAAAGTTTTGTTTTTCATCTTTTGATTTCAACTTGTATAAAATTGGCTGAAAATTACGTTTTTTTCTATATTTGGACTTATTGTACTACAAATGGTTGTGTAGTGAAAAAGACAACTTTTTAAATTGTTTTGTGGACCATTAATTTGTCATTGTTGATTGATGGATTCAAAAGTTCACCATGATTAGGTTATAAGAAGCAAATACCCTTTGATTGGGAGTTCTATGTCAACCATCAACTCAACTTTTAATTTTGTTGCAGTCATTCTCTCATAAGCAAAATATGGTATAAAACGGAGCTTTGATTGAGCCAGTGGCTGGTTAAGCGTTTAAGCTAGGCACCTCCAGATACATGTATGGTCAATACAACACATACAATGGGCCAAACATTTAAGGTGACCAAGCAATGCAAATATCATTGATGTTTCAAGATGTAAAAATAGTGGTTTTAGTTCCTTTCTTACCATGGGTTTATCATCATTCACTAGAAAGTGAGAGATAATTAAAAAAATTGAGATGGAAAAAATCTATATTTACCTTCATGTATTAAATGTTGTGATAAATGACTTGATATTATATTCAAAGAAGATTTAAAATGGGAATTAACGCAGACTAGAAAAAATGCATTATTGACTTTTGACTTTTCAACAAAAATAATTCTGATTGTGTGAACCCAAAGCAAACAAATTAAATTTGCCTAAAATTCTTAATTAAATGAATGTGTAATTAGACTTCAAAAACAAAATCCATGGCTTTCTTTTTAGTCCCTACATCATACATCTTCTGTATACTGTGTTGAAAATATACCCCAAAACAGATGAAATTACTGATAAACTAACCAGGTTAACTGTTATGACTATATATGTGTAGTAATAAAATGGTTTTCAAACAGCGCTGTCATTTCTCTTTTCTTTACAATGTATAATAATATATATATAATATACATATATTACTTGTGGGTGTATATCTTGTCTTATATTGTCATCCTGTAATTGTATTATTTTTATAATGTGTGTTCTGCAAATCTATACTTTGTGTTGAAATGTTGCAGTCTATGAAATATGCAAAGCGTCTTCTCTGGTCATTTTTTTAGTTAGCAATTTTGTACATTCCCAAAGGAAAATAAAAACAAACATCAGTTGTATGTCATTATTTGTATGAATCCAACAAAGTAAAATCTATTATGTTGATAATGAAGTGAGTTTATGCAAAATGTATGGTAAAGAGAGAGAAAACTTCTTCATTGCGATTGTCAAGCAACTTTAATACTACTTTGATATGTTTTCTGTCACGTTTTTTCCACATGATCCTCAAAGTGTAGTTTTGGAAGTAGTAACCATATGAATCTCGCAGACAAATTCAAGTTTTTGGTTAATAATGGACTGCATGAGAAACAGGAAGATGATAATCCACATTTGATTTTTGTTTCCAACCTTATCAAGACCATGATTTTCAAATGTATGACACCAATGGATCAAAGGAAACACTGATAGAACTATGCAGCCTAGGAAAGGTTGGCTTGTCAAAGATCTCTCATGAAATCATGGACATGAATGATATATGAAGAAATGTTACGATGTGCTGCAACACTTGATGTGATCCAAAATGTACCTATTGTATATATTAGTTTTGCAATTTTAAAAGTTGCTACATGTTGCTAAGAAAGGAGATGATAACAAGTGATATTAAAAGTAGAAAATTCAGATACTTTGGGAAAATATCTGTATGAGACATTTAAAGATGGCTTGCCATATTTTATGTCCAGATTGAAAATAAAACACTGACATGAAGGGATGTTGGTATTCATATACAGGATTATTCTCTATATCTCTTTGTCACATTTGCAATCTTTCCTCCAGTTCCTCTTTCTCACTTGTCTTCTTTATTTATTTTAAAAAAAACAGTTTTCCCCCTTTCTTTTTCCCCTTTTCTCCTCTTTTTCTCTCTTTTTCTCTCCTTTTCTATCTCCTTCAATTTAGTTTTTTTCTTCTCTTATACCTATCCCTTTCTCTCTTTCCCTTTTTTCATCCTACCCGCCTTCTCTCTCTCTCTCTCTCTCTCTCCCACACATGCACACATTATATTTTCAACAATCTAAAGTAAATATAAGTGTTGCCAATTTGATGAGTGAAGGCTGATTCACATGGAGATCATGCTATCATACATGATATCTGAGTTTGATAGTTTGTCACTATTGCCCGTTTTCTAAACCCGAAGGTTGGCTAAAGCTGGGTCCATTGTCAAGTTTAATATACCAAAGCAACAACTACTACTCAGTCCAATTTGTTTGAATTGACACAAAACTCAAACATGGCATTAGGTTCTATTCTCATTAGAATATTTTTCTGGTGGATCTTGGAGTAAATTGGTATAGTTTCATTCTGTTTTGCTCAATACTCTTCAAACATTATGCTAGCCATCATGCACTGAGAGAGTGCCAGTCTTGTGTTTAACTCTTTACCCACTATGGCCAACCTTCAGGACATGCAATGGACTCCTTTAGTTGACATTTGTCACACACACACACACACACACATATATTGTCTATGAAACATTACACCAACCAGTGGGGCAGTCCAGGAATTAGGACCCGACAAAGAGTTAATGCAAGAGTAAGCTAAAGCTCTTTACTTGTATCGGTTTTCTGTGGGATAATATGATAATGCAACCTGCATGAAATGGAAAAATATAATGTGTATACTACATCATTTCTGAAGATAAATACAGAGTATATATATATTTATCATACGTATATATTTAGTTATTTTGGAGGTAGTTTTAATCACTTTACTTTAGCATTGCACAATCATGAGTTTTGTTAGATTTGTTTGAATGTCAAAAATGCTGTAACATTCCAGATATTGTACATTTTTGTTTCCCTCATCAGAAATTATTGACATATATTAGAAACTGAGATCATTATAGGTTATTGTTGATACTGTTATTTATTCACTTTTCCAGAGACTTGTTACTATCTTAATGCATACATCGGATTTGTTCCAATATTCCTTTATTATTACTACGACTCAAATGATTTGTGGACCATGCGACCACTTTTTCCTTGTATATGAATATGTTATGATATATAACAACTATAGTTAAGTCTTTCATTATGTGAACAAATACATCCGATGACGACAATTATATATATTCTTCGTTCTCTGAATTAAGTCGTGAACCTTAAATCATCCTTTATAAGTATTGATGTTTAATGTTGTCTCATAATCATGATGTTTTCTTTGAAATTAAAAATTGAATTGATATTGAAATTTTGGAATACCACCAAAAAATATACCAGAAGACTTTTCCACTGAAAGACTAATGTCTACTTATCAACATCTACTTATCCATGCTATCAACTAACATTATTTATGTATTTGTAGGATTCGATTGAATTGATATGCAATTTAAATTTACAAGATTTACAATATTTGTAAATTAAAGCAAAAAACTGTTATTGTAATTGTAAACACGCTATTGTTTGATTTTTACTGCCAGTTAATTGGTTCCTGCATGAATGATTCTTGCACTTCCAATATGAAATATTAAATAACAAATGATTACATCACTAATTTAGACACCTGATCTGAGGAATAAAGATATTTATACAATATTGAATGACCTTGAGTGGGACACAAGGGTATATCATACGAGCTGATCAGAGTATAATATTAATTGTATGATATTTACTACAACCTCAATTTCCCCATCCCATCCTTATGCTTTTTATTCAACGTCAAGATCAGGGAGTAAAACATTTTTGTCATCACCAGGCAATTTTCAAGGGCTGTGTGCATACGTCCATTGTTTTGGCCTTTGTGTATTAAAACGCGTACTCACTGGGTTACCCAAGCCATGAGATATGGAGAAATACTGCATGGTCATCTGGGTATTTTTGCGCAAAGCATGAGATACAATGATTTTTTTTTGGTCGGGTCAAAACCCTTTGTGCAAATAATAATGTAGTATCTTTCATAAACCTGACAGTTTCTCTGTATAAAGTTTAAGTACTTTAAAGGAGAATATGTTGTGAAATTTTATGATAAATATTCCCTGTAGCATAATTGAAATGCTGTGTTCTTCATAAACCTTCTTTTTTCATAGATGTAATGTTTCAAAAAAACTTAATTAATTGTCAGTAAATAGCATTGTAAATTTCATCTGGTGTGTTAAAATCTTGTGATGTTTCCTTTGCTTAAAATCGATCTTATATCATTAGAATTTTGGTCATAAGAATAATAATCATGGAGATTTTGATGAGAATTTTGAGAGTTGGACCAAAGGCTCTTCTCTTTTTCTCTTGTTTTGATAATTTATTCATACTTAATTGTTATCATGAATTATTTTAGATTTCTGCATTTGACATGTCAAATATAATTTGGTCTTCTGGTTTCATTCCAGGTAATTAGTCAAACTAATGTATCCTATTTTGAGATATAGTATGTATTTATCAGGTCAGTATTAAGGACAAATTAAGAGGGTAGATGACTGTGATGAAGTGATGATGATGACATAATAAGCTATGTCTCGTATCATTAGACATTACTAACTGTATGCTGACAGCCAGAAGGGCGTTATTAACTCATATACTTTAACTCTGAGTTAACGCCCTTTTGGTTCTCAACAGACAAACTTCTTACTATACCAATACATGTGACCAGGATTGTTATATTGTATATTCCCCATTGTTTTTATATTGGACTTGTGGAATGTAGACTACTATATACAGAGAGATTTACTGACATCCGTTACCAAATCGCCTTTCTGAAATGTATCTATGTACACATTATGTCTATGCCTAGATGAAGTCTACTACTATGTGTATCATTAACTATTGGATGGTTGGTAATACTGTGAGGTCTTGCTATATAAGTGGGGACAGTTATATGCATTGAACAAGATGTGTAATTGTGAAAATTCAAAGTTTGACAAATTGTTTAGCTGTCAGTCAGCCTCCATGTTCTTTCCATGCACTCGCTGTGACCATCAATGGCTCTTGCGCTGACTAATGACCAGATAATTTATAAAAGACAATTTAATGTATATGTATATTACTGACAAAACTATTGGAGGATTATGTAAAGCAATGGTATTAAATGTTCCAATAGCTGTCTACTAGGTCTCTTTTCTGTGTTATTACATGTATTCCACAGATGAGGATTTGGCCCATTCAGTACAAAGATATTAAAAAGGACATTATCTTAAAAACATCAGCAGTTTAGTGTCTTACTTTTAGAGTCGCATTTATTATGATGCCTATGTGTGATTGATGAGAAAAGTTATCTTTAGCATCATCCATTTGTTATGGTGGTGCTGCTGAGGATGAGGATGATGGTGATACAAGATTTCTGTGTAATTAACAAATGAATAATAAATTCGACAACTACCTAGCATGCTCATCTATTCTGTTTCGTCAAACAGATGAAGGTGGTCAATATATGCTGTTACATCATCCATATATTCTATCCATCTCGAGAAAGCAATACAGTTTTCACAACAAAATAAATGATTCGACACTGAATTGTACCTCAAGAAAATAACAATATTCGAGATTACACTATATAAAATTGTACTGAATAGAATCAAGCACCTGGAGGGATATTCTTTCGGCACATTTTGACTGAAAGAATGGGAAAAGACATGCAGTCGAGTTAAAGCTGCATGTCGTTGAATAAAATCCCAATACCTGACCGTTCTGATTTATTAACTCCTGTTAATCTGCAATTTAAAAGTAATCAAACAACATTCATCGATGCAATAATTTTGTATCGAATACAACATATTTTATGACAACTACCATACCTTCTAAACTAATATACCTTCTGGACAATTACCACAGGACAACTACCCGGGCAACTACAAGTTTCCAGGGTGATGCGGAAAAAGTAGTAGCTTATATCTATCCAAAAAAATAGTAAACACATCTGACAAAATATAATAGTTATTTCTTCTTTAAAAAGTGCAAGTGTAACATCAAGCAAACCATTCATTTACCATTATCATGAGTAAATTAATATACTTATTTCCCCTTTAAAACGTGTAAGTGTTACATCAAGCAAACCATTCATTTACCATTGTCATGAGTAAATTAATATACTTATTTCGTCTTTAAAAAGTGTAAGTGTAACATCAAGCAAACCATTCATATACAATTATCATGAGTAAATTAATACACTTATTTCCCCTTTAAAAAGTGTAAGTGTTACATCAAGCAAACTATGCATTTACCATTATCATGAGTAAATTAATATACTTATTTCCCCTTTACAAAGTGTAAGTGTTACATCAAGCAAACCATTCATTTACCATTATCATGAGTAAATTAATATATACTTATTTCCTCTTTAAAAAGTGTAAGTGTTACATCAAACAAACTATTCATTTACCATTATCATGAGTAAATTAATATACTTATTTCCCCTTTACAAAGTGTAAGTGTAACATCAAGCAAACCATTCTTTTACCATTATCATGAGTAAATTAATATACTTACTTCCCCTTTACAAAGTGTAAGTGTTACATCAAGCAAACCATTCATTTACCATTATCATGAGTAAATTAATATACTTACTTCCCCTTTACAAAGTGTAAGTGTTACATCAAGCAAACCATTTATTTACCATTATCAGGAGTAAATTAATATACTTATTTCCTCTTTAAAAAGTGTAAGTGTAACATCAAGCAAACCATTCATTTACCATTATCATGAGTAAATTAATATACTTATTTCCTCTTTAAAAAGTGTAAGTGTAACATCAAGCAAATCATTCTGTAGAGATATCTACATATGATCCTTGAGACAATGTGGTAATTTCATGGTTCTTTGTTTATTAACACTCAACTGAACTCCAATCAATTCCATACACCGGAATGTACAAAGTAGCAATAATAGTAGTAGTTTAGTAGGTAAAACAAAGTTTTCCTTCCTTGAATCCGTGCCCACATCATATCATATCTGTAGTTTCCATGTGACAAGCCTAGCTACGTTTGTACAACAATTCCAGTCAATCTACGGTATCCTCAAAACAAAAACTAAATTTGGCTTCTTATAACTTGATCCTTACATTCCTCCCCCCAGTTGCAGCTAGAGGGTGCAACGATTAACATTTATTTAACCAAAACTTAATTGTCCATCACTGATATAAATTAACAAAATACCAACTGTTATCTACATATATTATCAAATGTTTACAACCATTTTCTACATATTGTCTCATAACCTAGGTAAAATTAAATTCAAACACTTTCTATTTATATAATACCTAACTGTTTCCAAAACAAATCATAATCACAATGAGATGTAACACTTATATCTCTATACTCTGCCAATTTCTACTATCTAAATGCACAGAATACACTAAATTCTGCAAAATCGAGCTTTATCCCTGGATTACTATAAACATTCTTGTATCAACTCAACAAAAGCATCCAATACAAAATAATCATGAATCAATGATAACTTTAAATCAAAATATTTTCAATGTTTACTCATAGCTGTCAAACTTTTGTCAAACTTTTGTCAAAATGTAATACCTATGGTAATTAAATTATCAAAAACACCATTTTCGTTATAATTGCCTTTCAAAAAATAACTCTGGAAATAAACCAGTAATATGAAATCCAAACACAAGAATTGTTCTTCCAAAACAAGAATAATTAGTGGCTGTATTTACTACCTTTAACATTTTTCCTTTTGTTTTTACTTAAACATAAAACAATTTCTGAACACCTTCAATTGAACTGAACTGATGTACGTGTACATCAACATTAAATGAACATCGAAATAACGCAGATGTACATGTACTTTCAAACAATAGAGAAAAGGAAATATTTAGCATTGTGCATAATACCATCTTCATACATGTAATACTTATACTTCTGCTTGAACATTAACCTTGTTCTTTCTATTTGCATATATCAATCTGAACTTCCTTATAATGCTCTACACTGCAGAGTGCAGACACATATATTTAAATCTTTTCATTCATGTTAATGTTCTGAACATCTAATAAAATGAAATTTCTAACTTTCTATGTCAACAAATACACTGTTTTCAAAACACTTTCCCCCTTTAACCCTATTTGAGTTCTCTCTTTCTGGTATGTTTTATATTAACAAAATGTATCTGATTTTAACTCTGAGGCTAATTCAATCATTACCTTGAACTAATTTTTAACAAAATATTCTCTTTTAATTATTTGTGTATAAAACATCAAATTTCAAAACGAACATTTCAGTCATGAATAGCATTTCACAGAGTTCAACTTAAACAGTTTGAAAGTTCAATAGTTCGTTCCAGTTCATGTTCATATCCTTTATCGTTCTTGCAAAGCATAAACAATATTCGGTGCTGACTTATCATAATTAAATGTCTTAAATTGACATCCTTTCATGGAAGCGTCCTCTCTTGAAATCGCGTAAAACTTTGCTCTCTTGCAATTCGCGTGTTGACAAAATCATCCTGTGTAAATTCGCGACTTGACATATGTTGATCCAATGCAAATTCGCGATAAAACATATATTAATCCAATACAAATTCGCGATTAAACATGTGTTGATCCAATGCAAATTCGCGATAAAACATGTGTTGATCCAATGCAAATTCGCGGTTAAAGATGTGTTGATCAGATCCAAATTCGCTATTAAACATGATTTGATCCTGTATTGGCTCATTATCACAAATGATTACCAATTATTAGCCAAAGGGCTATTAATATTTTACTTTTCACTTTAACACAAACACAAAATTTCACTGGCGCTCTGAATTCCACTTGTTCGCTTGATCCAAACACAAATTGCTTCATTTGCTTGATATCCTCCTCCAATAATAATTCAAAGCACATCCACTTAAAGGCACTTTCACATATTATACATGTAGATCCTTTCATAAATTTGAGACAAACTCCATTCAAATTTCCTGCTCCAGTAGAATACACAACTTGGTTACTGGCCTTACTAGCGATGTTGTTGCAGTTTTCACTTTCGCTCTGCGGACGAACCCCTTGTTGTCTGGCATAACCTCTTGCACTCGGGCCATGGACCAGGAACATCTGTGCGCTGTTTCGTCTATGACGAGTACAATGTCCCCCACCTGAAGGTTACGACTTGGCTGCAGCCACTTTTGTCGGCGTTGTAGGGAAGGCAGGTATTCTCGCACCCACCTCTTCCAGAATAGGTCTGCCAAGTACTGCATCTGTTTCCACCGCTTCTTTGCGTAGATGTCCTTGTCGTCGAAGATCCCTGGAGGTAGCGTCGTTGAACCCTTCATAGTCAGCAAGCTGTTTGGTGAGATTACATCCAGATCATTTGGGTTGTCTGAACATCGGGTAAGAGGCCTACTATTTATGACGGCCTCCACTTCACACATAAATGTATGGAGCTGCTCCTCGTTCTGGTAGGACTTTAGATACTGCTCTCTCATGACTGCACACAATATCTTTCTGACTGTTCTAATTTGGCGTTCCCATACTCCCCCCTGATGGGAAGCAGCAGGAGGATTGAAATGCCATTTCATGCCATGGTTTGCATGAAAGTTGATCAGCTGGTCTTGATTCAGCTCCTTTAATGCCTGCTTCAGTTCCCTCTCAGCTCCTACTAAATTTGTACCATTATCCGAGAACATCTCTTTCATAGGTCCTCGGCGGCTGATGAAGCGACGAATAGCCTCAATACAGGAGCTTGTGTCTAGACTCGATGCAACTTCAATGTGCACCCCTCTGCAGGACAGGCATGTGAAGATTACGCCATATCTTTTCCTTATGCTTCTTCCACACTTTATTTCAAAAGGACCAAAATAGTCCATGCCAACTCTGGTGAACGCCGGCTCGTCACTCTGAACTCGACTTCTTGGAAGTTCTGCCATTTTCTGATGACCAGCCTTTCCTTGGTTCTTTCTACAAATGACGCATTTCCTTGCTATGTTTCGTGCTAAAACTCCAGCTCCTACCACCCAGAATTTCTGTCGTAATTCAGCTACCATGTGATTTTGTCCCTGATGACCAACTCTCCTATGGATGTATTGCATTAAAAGAGTGGTTACATGATGCTTCTTTGGTAGGATGTATTGATGTTTAGCACTGCTTGGAATCTGGGCATTCTGCAACCTTCCACCTACTTGAAGTAACCCATTGCTCAATTCTGGATCAAGGTTAATAAGGGTAGAGCGTTTTGGTACTCCTTTCTCTTCTCCGTGACCAGCCAGTCGTTTCATTTCCTCTGGGAATGATTCAAGTTGCAATTGTTTAACAATTGCGATCTCGGCATCTTCAATGTCCTTATTTGTCAGGCTGAACATTTCACTGGAATTGCCATCTATTCCTTTCCCCTTTCCTTGTAGCATTTTCTTGAACTTCAATATCCAGGCAACTCCTCGTTTCAGCTTATCCCAATCAGAATAGTGCGACAGGAGTGCACTTATTGGATCCTCCTTGTTTATCATTGTGGCATGAATGTGAGTCTCATCCAAATCTCCTGACTTAGTATCATCAGCTTTCTCCATTCTTGCTGGAGCTTTCACACCCTCAGATGGCCATATTTCTTCAGACTGCTTTAAGAATTCTGGGCCTTCAAACCATTCCTTCTTCTTGGTTAGTTCACTGGCATCCAATCCCCTGGATGCATGATCTGCCGGGTTTAACTTGGTAGGAATGTACTTCCACTGATTTGTCTCTGATCCATCTCGGATGATACTCAGTCTGTTTGTCACAAATACTGGATATCTGGCAGTTTCGTTGGCAATGTATTTCAGAACTGTTTGACTGTCCGTCCAAAATACTGTCTCATCCAACTCCATATTCATTTCCCTCTTGATCATACTGTCTTGCTTTACTGCGAGTGTTGCAGCAGTTAACTCCATCTTAACAATAGTGTGAGGCTTCAGTGGGGCAACCCTGGCTTTAGCTGTCAAAAATGCCACATGAACCTCTTCATTCTCATCTGTCTGTCTCAAGTAGGTCACAACACCATAGCCATCCATGCTAGCATCGGCAAAGTGGTGCAGCTGTCTGTTTGTTACTATACCAAAGTTCTTTGGTTTTAGACATCTTTCAGTCTTCACCTGGTCAAGATTTTGTAGCTCATTCATCCAATGTTCCCATTCCATTTTCTGCTTTTCAGGGATTGACTGGTCCCAGTCCAATTTAGCTTGGCACAATTCTTGCAGAATTATCTTAGCCTTCAGAACGAATGGTGCTGCTAGCCCGAAGGGATCATAGACTGAGCTCATTACTGATAGGATGTTTCGGCGAGTAGCCTTTCTTGACATTTCTTTCAATTTGAAGCCTAACTGGTCATTTTCTGGATCCCATCTCACACCAAGAGCTCGTTCAGTTGGAAGAACTTCCCTTTGTAAGTCCAAATCCTTCAATTCAACAGCATGTTCCTCCTTTGGAATGGAATCCAAGACCTCTCGTCTGTTGCTTGACCATTTGGTTAACTTGAAGCCTCCCTTGGACAACACTTGTCTTAATGATTCAGCTAGATCAATGCCTTCTTGGGGTGTTGATACTGATTTCAGAAAATCATCAACGTAAAAGTCTTTCTGTATGGCATCTAGGACTTCTTCCTTTGCACAACCTTCATTGTCCTTTGCTGTTCTTTTCAGGGCATAATTCGAACAACTGGGAGAAGATGTAGCCCCAAAAAGATGGACTAGCATTCTGTAGGCTACTGGCTCTTTGGTGATATTCCCCTCAGGCCACCACAAGTAACGCAGCATGTCGCATTGGTCTGGTGTAACTTTCACCTGATAGAACATAGACTGTATATCTGCCATTATAGCCACTTTCTCTTTCCTCCATCTGAGGAGAACACCAAGCAATCTGTTGGTTAGATCTGGTCCTTGTAGGAGTTCCTGATTAAGAGACTTTCCTTTGTAGCTGATAGGACAATTGAAGACTACTCTAATCTTTCCTGGCTTTTGGGGATGATACACCCCATGGTGAGGGATATACCATACCTTCCCATCATGTCTGTCCAAGTCTGCTTCTGGAACCTTCTCTGCATAGCCTTGCTTTTCCAGATCATTCATGAATGTGGTGTACTGTTCATGGATTTCCTTGTTCTTTGATAACTTCTGTCCTTGTCTTTCCAGAAATCTTTCAGCTTGGTCCTTGTTGTTAGGCATAGCCACATCTCTCTGCTTTAAGGGCAGATCTATCTGATAATGATTGTCTTTCTTAGTGATAGATTTCTCCATTATGTCCAAGAAAGTCTTGTCGTCAACTGACAGGCCCTCTCTGTGATCACTTAGTCTCTCTGTAAATTCCATATTGCAGAAGTCTTTGAATTTCCGTTCTAATTCCTCTTGTCTAGGAATGATGGAAACTTCTTCCTGTTTACAAAAACAGACTTTGTGAATATCTGCTTGCTCTTGAGCTTGTATACCATACACGAGCCAACCTAGCCTTGAGCGGATAGCATATGGTTCTTCGATGTCACCAGCTTTAATTTCTAGAGGCATCGATGCTGACGGAACGTTGGCTCCAATCATGAGAGTTACCCTTGGAATAGAGTTGCTGTTACTTATTTCTGGCAATTCTATGTCCTTCAGATGTTTCCATCGTTTCAGATCATTTTGAGTTGGAGCATCTGAAACTGTCACTGGTATACCATCTTTGACATAGATGGGCGGAAGATTGATGAATTCCTTCTCCTTTACTCCTGCGATCTGCAGCTCATCTACAGTGACTTCTGTATCTATCACTTCTTCAAGATTCAATGTCTTGACTATTAGCTTGGTTTTCCTAGTTCTTGCATGCAGCCTTAAGTTCTGTGTCACAGAAGACTGTTCCGCATCCATTATCTATGAATGCATAAGTTGATATGCATCTGTCATTTCCTTTGTGCTTCACGATGACTGGAACTATCGTCATGCATGTCGATGTCTGGGGTTTTCCTCCAACACTTTTCTTCACATTGGTAGACCCTGAAGAGATCTTTCCAGCTTCACTTTGCACATCGGTACATGTAGATGTTGAAGCATCATTGGTGGTTTTCCTTGTATTTCCTTCTCCGTCTTTCATCCACCTGGGATCATGCATTAGAGTGTTGTGCATCCTGTCGCAGACATCACACTTGATCTGACTTTTGCATTCCTTTTTCAGATGTTTTGGTTTCAGGCATCGGAAGCAGAGGCCTTTCCTTTTACATTGCTCTGATCTTTCTTCAACTGTCAAGGCTTCAAATTTTCGGCACTCGTCAATGATGTGCCTTGAGTTGGTGCCACAGAAAGTACAACTGGGTTCCCTCTTGTCCTTCTGCTCCCTATCCTGTTGTGTAGCTGTACCAAATGCCTTTGTGCTTCTTGATTTTTGTAGTTTTTCTTTCTCATCTTTATTGTAGGAAGCATTTTTCTCAGTCCTCTGATATCCCAATCCCTGTACCATGGGATCGTTAATGTTTCTTTCAGTCTGTATGACGAACTGTGCAAGGTCGTCCAGGGTGGGATTCCTATTGGCAATATCACGAGTCAGGCCTACTCGTGAGATCCACTTCTGTTGGAGATACAACGGTAGTTTGCTTGCCAGAACTCTCAGAAAACTTGCACTATCCATGCCTCCTAAGTCCCCTGCTGCTCTAACATGTGAGCAATTATTGAGGTATATTGCGAATTTTCGCAATCCTTGCCTATCTCCTGATCGTATCTGCTCCCAGGCAATTGCCCTTTCCTTGTATGCATTTATTATGTTACTCTGCTTTCCATAGTCTCTGTGTAGCATGGACTTGGCAGTCTCATATGCCCTCTTACTTGGTTGTATGTGGGGGCATTCTCGAATAAGCTCATGCGCTTCTCCTCGTGTGTATTTTAGTAGAAGCTCTAGTCTTCTGAAAGGTTCATCAGTTCTCTTTTCAACCACATATTCAAAATTCCTTATAAAGGTAAGGTAATCAAGTGGATCCCCATTGAACGGCTCGAGATCTGGCGATGGTAGACTGTTTTCTGCAGTGAATCTAATCATCTCCCTAAGCATCTGTTTGGTGGCTCCTTCTTCATTGCTCACAGGTTCCTTGCGAAAGGCTTGTTCTTGTTCTTGTCTACGACCACCGACAAAATCACCTCTAACTCGTTCTTGTCCACGATCACGGAAAGAGTCACCTCTAACTTGATCTCGTTCTTGTCCATGATCACCGACAAAATCATCTCTAACTCGTTCTCGTTCTTGTCCACGATCACGGAAAGAGTCACCTCTAACTTGATCTCGTTCTTGTCCATGATCACCGACAAAATCATCTCTAACTCGTTCTCGTTCTTGTCCACGATCACGGAAAGAGTCACCTCTAACTTGATCTCGTTCTTGTCCATGATCACCGACAAAATCACCTCTAACTCGTTCTCGTTCTTGTCCACGATCACGGAAAGAGTCACCTCTAACTTGATCTCGTTCTTGTCCATGATCACCGACAAAATCACCTCTAACTCGTTCTCGTTCTTGTCCACGATCACGGAAAGAATCACCTTCCACTTTCCATTTCTGTAGCTCTTCCTCTGAGTCTTGTTGTAGAAGCTTCAATTCTGCTTGCAAGAGAATAGCAGTCTTTTGTCTTTCAATCTCCGCTTCTTCATCCTTCAAAAGCTGACTCTTTCTCAAATTCTCAGCCTTTTCTTTTGCAATTCGTATTTCTTGTTCGGCTTGTTCCATTTCATGTTGTTTTTGAAGTTTTCTCAGTTTCTTCTCAAGTTCACTCGTTTGATGTAAGGCTATCAACTTTGCTTTAAGTTGTCTTTCCTTCTTTCTCTCTCTTTCTCTCCTCTTTGCAGTACTGGCAGAAGAGGCCGATGATCCACATAATGACAATGTGGATTCTGAGTCATCTTGATCTTCTTTCCCATTCTCTAGATCTCTTTCTCTAGTAAAGCTCCTTGTTGCACCACTCTCCTTATCATCAACATGATTAATATCATTGCCATTGGCATTGCTCAGTTCCTTATCTTTCCCACCTGGGGATTTGGGAGTAGTATTCCCATTCATAATTGCAATTTACTTGATAAACATTCCTTTCAAATCAGCAGTAACGTGTAGAGCTATAGAGTCTAGCCGACTTCACTTCAAAGTTTCATTTCATTCAGCCGATTTCACTTCTGAGTTTCATTTCATTCAGCCGTTTTCACTTCTGAGTTTCATTTCATTGAATTACTCACTGTGTCACGTCACGTCAGACTTTAGTACTTGTGCAGTGTTCGCGAGTATCACGCCCGGGGGCTTGCCGTGTCGAAAGCCTTCTTCCATGCAGTATCCGTTGAAGAATCGAATTTGTTTTACTAATGTAGAGATATCTACATATGATCCTTGAGACAATGTGGTAATTTCATGGTTCTTTGTTTATTAACACTCAACTGAACTCCAATCAATTCCATACACCGGAATGTACAAAGTAGCAATAATAGTAGTAGTTTAGTAGGTAAAACAAAGTTTTCCTTCCTTGAATCCGTGCCCACATCATATCATATCTGTAGTTTCCATGTGACAAGCCTAGCTACGTTTGTACAACAATTCCAGTCAATCTACGGTATCCTCAAAACAAAAACTAAATTTGGCTTCTTATAACTTGATCCTTACACATTCACTTACCATTATCATGAGTAAATTAATACACTTATTTTCCCTTTAAAAAGTGTAAGTGTTACATCAAGCAAACTATTCATTTACCATTATCATGAGTAAATTAATATACTTATTTCCCCTTTAAAAAGTGTAAGTGTTACATCAAGCAAACCATTCATTTACCATTATCATGAGTAAATTAATATACTTATTTCCCCTTTAAAAAGTGTAAGTGTTACATCAAGTAAACCATTCTTTTACCATTATCATGAGTAAATTAATTATTACTTATTTCCTCTTTAAAAAGTGCAAGCGTTACACCAAACAAATCATTGATTTACCATTATAATGAGTAAATTAATATACTTATTTCCCCTTTAAAAGTTGCATGTATTCCAACAAGCAAATCATCCACTTACAATTATCATGAGCATCTGATAATTGAGGGCGCTGTAATGCTGACGCCTACACTTATATTTTTGCTCAGACTTTTGATTTTTTTTCACCTAGAATTTTACTTTTTCGTCAAATGTGTTACGACTTTGCATAGCTATTTGGGCAGAAGCCAACTTTGCCCTGGACATCGTGATGATTTTGGATATATATCTGTTTTTGCAATATGTATTTTCAAGGAGAATTCTGTCTGTTCATGATAGCATATCTATCAACGATAGATGTTCGGATTTTCACCATGGACCCAGGACCAAAATCCAATTGAAACCAGTTGAAATCTCCAACTGGTTTCAATTGGTTTCAACTGGTTTCAATTGGTTTCAATTGGTTTCAATTGGAATAGAAAATTTCCAGTTGAAACCAATTGCCGAACTGGAAAAATATTGTTATGGGTACTCATTTCCAGTTCAAACCAATAAGAAGTGCAACTGGAACCAGTAAGGTAATTTTTCCAGTTACTCAATTGGTTCCAGTTAGAAGTCATTTCCAGTTACCCAACTGGTTCCAGTTAGAAGTTCAACTGGAAACAGTAAGATGATTTTCCTGTTATTCAATTGGTTCCAGTTAGAATTCATTTCCAGTTACCCAACTGGTTCCAGTTAGCATTCATTTCCAGTTAGAAGTCATTTCCAGTTACCCAACTGGTTCCAGTTAGAATTCATTTCCAATTACCCAATTGGTTCCAGTTAGAAGTCATTTCCAGATACCCAACTGGTTCCAGTTAGCATTCATTTCCAGTTAGAAGTCATTTCCAGTTACCCAACTGGTTCCAGTTAGAATTCATTTCCAGTTACCCAACTGGTTCCAGTTAGCATTCATTTCCAGTTAGAAGTCATTTCCAGTTACCCAACTGGTTCCAGTTAGAATTCATTTCCAGTTACCCAACTGGTTCCAGTTAGCATTCATTTCCAGTTAGAAGTCATTTCCAGTTACCCAACTGGTTCCAGTTAGAAGTCATTTCCAGTTACCCAACTGGTTCCAGTTAGAATTCATTTCCAGTTACCCAACTGGTTCCAGTTAGCATTCATTTCCAGTTAGAAGTCATTTCCAGTTACCCAACTGGTTCCAGTTAGAAGTCATTTCCAGTTACCCAACTGGTTCCAGTTAGAATTTATTTCCAGTTACCTTATTGGTTCCAGTTAGCATTCATTTCCAGTAAGAAGTAATTTCCAGTTACCCAACTGGTTCCAGTTAGAATTCATTTCCAGTTACCCAATTGGTTCCAATTGGAAATATTTCCAGTTACCCAACTGGATCCAATTGAAACCAGTTAATTTGCATATTATATGCTTGTGTGCAGATCAATGTTTTATGTAATTTATTTTGATTTACAATGTACTTATTAATTAATTTTCATTTGCAAGTAATGCATTTCTTTTAGATAAATATAAAGATTAATTAGCAATGATAAGCATGTTCATTAGTAACATATTTTTGTAATTACACAGATTAAAAGTTGATTAGTAAAACACTAACCATGCACAAAATACATCAAATACAAACATATATAATGGCAATGCCTTCCTTGTTAAGTATAATATATGGTCTGCATATTATAATGCCCTTTACATTGTACTTAATGTAGACACATATAACAATGTTTCTGTGTTGACATGAGCGATAATTAGTGCAAGAGCTAATTAACTCATAACTAATTAAGTTTATGCCAATTACTGTAAGTTTCAATTGGATCCAATTGAAACCAATTGAAACCAGTTGAAACCAGTTGAAGCCAACTGGTTTCAATAGGGAAATTGGAACAACTGGTTCCAGTTGAAACCAATTAGGCAACTGGAACCAGTTGGCAATTGGTTTCAACTGGTTTCAATTGGAACCAGTTGGCAATTGGTTTCAACTGGTTTCAATTGGATCCAGTTGGCAACTGGTTTCAATTGGAACCAGTTGTTCCAATTTCCCTATTGAAACCAGTTGGCAACTGGTTTCAATTGGTTTTGCTCCAATTGGTTTCAACTGGATTTTGGTCCTGGGGAGTCGGCCAGACGAGACGGCCTGCTCACCAGTCAGCAGACACGTCGTTTTCCGGGGACTTCAGCAGATTTTGAATCTCCCGCCACTGAGGTCGGAACCAGTGAACCGAGGTATTCGTCCGAGTTCTCAAAGCAGTTACGTCATAAAGCGGACAATCGGTTGCCAGGAGAAACGTGGGACACAATTAAAGAGTTGGGCATAGGAAAGCGAAAACGCGGTCGTCGTGCTGGAACTCATATCGTACGACGCATCACCACAATTATTGGGATAAGAGATCAACGATCTGAGATTAAATTGCCTGATTGTCGACATAATATATCGAATTTGATTCATATCAAACCGAATCACGAACCAAGAACAGGCGTAAGTACTTACAACTTTCCATCTTGCTTGCTAACAAATACTCGTTCTATGAACAACAAGATTGACGAATTTAACGAACTTATCCTTGAATCCGATATTGACATCGCGGCAGTAACCGAAACATGGTTCAAAGATGACATGCCGTGTGATTATGTGTCGATTCCAAATTATGAGGTGTTCCTCAGATCTAGAACGAACAAACGGGGTGGGGGTGTGGCAATATACTTCAAAGAAACCCTCACTCCTAGAACAGTCGAACATATTGATATACCTGATGATTTGGAAATAATGTGGATACAAATTCAGCCAACAAAGCTACCACGATCCGTATCCTTCATTATTGTAGCTGTTCTGTATTACCCACCAAATTGTGCTTAAGCTGACAAACTCATTGAGCATATTCACCATGTGATAGACACCATGTCTTCAAGACATTCGGACGTTGGTTATATTGTCATGGGTGATTTGAATGAACTCGACATATCATCTCTCCTCTCAGACCCAAGGTTTGTCCAATGCGTGGATAAACCTACGAGAGGCACAAGGACGCTAGACAAAATCATCACCAATATCAGCGATTACTACCAGTCGCCTACCATATCTTCTCCTTTGGGTGCAAGCGATCACTGCACTGTCTTATGGTTGCCGTTGGGAAACATCACAAAGAGTCCCAACGTTATCAACAAACGCACAACCAGACCAATGAAAGACAGTAGCATTAGAGAGTTTGGAAGGGAGATCCTCAACTGTGACTGGATTGACGTTCTCTCAGCTGAAAACGCAAATGATAAGTGCAATGCGTTTTACTCTACATTATCACCAATGATTGAGAGATACTTCCCAACTTGCACCGTCAAACTACATGACAAGGACAAACCATGGATGACCCCTTCCATTAAGTCGTTAATCTACCAGCGCCAAAGGGCATTTGCTGTGGAAGCGAAGGGAGAGTGGCGACGCCTCAGGAATCGAATTATTCGTGATATTGAACATGCAAAACAAGACTACTACAAAAACCGTGTGGCAAAACTGAAAAATGCCAACCCGGCGTCATGGTATAAGCATATAAAGACCATGACAACTGGCCAGACGAGATTTCGACTTATTCGCATCGAAGGCACTTCTCCTACTGACTTCGACGCAGCGGCGAATAAGATCAACAACTTCTTCGTGAACATTGCAAACGACATTCCTAGATTGGACCCTTCTAGTTTGCCGTCATATCTACCGGCTGACCAACCACTTCCCCTTGTTCAACCATGGGAAGTTTATAGCGAGTTGAAAGCCATTAAACAACGGAAAGCTCCTGGACCAGACGGCATTTCGGCCAGACTTGTCAAGAAATTCGCTTATGAGCTTTGCTGTCCGCTTACTGATATTCTAAACGCATCTTTTAGTCAGTCCATTGTACCACCCTTACAAAAAAAATCTATGATATTCCTATGGTACGGCTCTATGGTGAATGGTATTTCTATGATATATTATATGGTAGAATATATTTCTATGGTATACCACACAATTGCTGAATGGTGGAGTTCTATGGTCAATGGTATATCATTGATGCCGTCCTATGGTGTATGGTATTTCTATGATATATTATATGGTAGACTATATTTCAATGGTATTTCTGTTGAATGGTATCCCTATGGTGGAGGATATTTCAGTGGTAGCTCTATGGTGGATGATGACTTTATGGTATATCTATGGTGGTTATGTGACTCTATGGTGGCTCTAAAGTGAATGGTAGATCTATGGTAGCTCTATGGTGGCTGTATGGTGTGTGGTATTTCCAGGCGCGGATCCAGGATTTCTTAGGGGGGGGGGCCCAAATTTGAAATTTTGCGAGCCAAATATTGGTACTTAATGGTGACCAACAGTGACATAATGCGGGGGGGGGGGTCGGTGCAGGGAGGGGCGAGTTTCCCCCTCCCTCCTCCGCGAAACGCGGAAGCTTTGACGTTTTATTAAATTATTAGAGAAAGAAGACGATTCGTTGTACCGTTCTCGAAAAAAATTCTCGTCTGAATTAAGTTTTTCACCTCCCGCGCGAAGCGCGGAAAATTTTACGATTTATTTAACTATTAGAGAAAGAAGACGGTTCGTTGTAGAGTTTTCGACTCTTAGTCCTCGTCTGAATTCAGGTTCCCCCCCCCCCTCTGCGCGAAGCGCGAAAGCTTTTAAGTTTATTTCAATCATAAGAGAAAGAAGACGAT